TTAACGCAACAATACAATATGTGTTGTTTCCAATTGAGAAAACCATGCCCCCCCGATTCCGGACTTACTTTACATTTTCCCTCTTTTAATTCGCTCAAAAATACATGAAATGCACAGATTATCGAAGAGACACGGGACACAGGAGCACCAACACGTGAAAGCCGCCGTCTAACGCGCAACTCGCAGCAATTCATTCATTTCACTCGCTCGTGACAGTCGCGGCGATCCCTCCGCCCTTGCCGGAATCATTTCAACACGGACGAGTCATTCCACTTGGGGCCTGCCACTTATCCGACCGCAAGGAATAGCATGACAATCACTGTTGCCGAACGGGTCGCGCGGGGCTCGAGGTCAGCGAAGAGGAGACAAACCCCACGCGGCGGACAGTTCATGCGAAAGCCAGCGGGGCTTTTTAATCGACGTCACCCTGGACATACATACGTCCGTCCGGTCCGGTCCAGATTAATTTCATCATGAATGTTAGCCCAACACTCGAGATCCAACCGCGAGCAAACACCCTCCACGCACTCTATTAACAGTTTAAAGCGTATTACAGTCGCGTCGTCGGGCCGCGGCTCGCACGCACGATCAACACCGGTGAGCCACGGCCCGCACTTGGGGATGATGGCTTTACCCCGTCAAAGAAAATTCATACGAAAATGTTTGCGCAGCACAGTTGATCCGTTTGATCGTTTGCAGCCGAGTTGACCGTGCCGCTGCGAAATTTCCGCGAGTTTCATCTTCGCCGAAGCGAGAGGCACGTGCGCCGATTGTCACGAGCCGACGAGCAGAGATCACTCGAACCCGGCGAAACGTCTCTCATCGAAGGCCTCACCGATATAATTTTCCACTTGTGTGTATCATGAAGTGGCGATGAATAGTTTAGGCGCTATTTCGACGCTATTTCGGTGAGATCGCGCGGAGCGCAGCAATGAAGAATCGATATCCGAATGCGACACTCTGCGCGCGAGTGTCGCTTCTGTTGCATCAATCCGACGGAAACAACGACGTCGGCTTAATCGAAGCGTTTGGAGAAAAACGGCACGTTACTAGCTCGCGCAGTCGACCGTGGTAGCCAATTAGGCGTGTCTCGAGGGTGGGAGCCTCGCGCGCGCTAGTAGAACAAACCAGAACCGCGGCAGACGGAGGGGCGAGACCGGGTAACGGGGATAGATAGAGGCATCGAAAGACAAGGAGAAAAATACGAGGCGGAATCCCTCCTTCTTCCTTCCTCGCTTTTTTCGGTGGAAACAAAACTGTTGTATCTACTAATAAAGGCGGAGTCTTGTTTTTAAAAGCGCGCACTTCGCTATCTCTCTCTCTCTCTCTCTCTCTCTCTCTCTCTCTCTTCCTCACCCCCCTCCGTCTGTCCCTCTTTCTCTCTATCTCCCTCTTTCTCTCTTTCTTCTTCTTCGTCCTGCGTTAAAATAGGAGGGATTAGTTCCTATGGTAGCGCGGGGGCTTAAGCATTGATGAGGTTTTTAAATGGGTTCTCCTTTGACGATGGTAAGAGAACGCGAAAGGCGAGTAGGGGTGGCTACGACAACGAGAGCACAAGGGGAGGAGGGGGAGGGGGAAGAGGACGGGCGGGCGATATTTACCGGGAGATTAAAAAATCGAGGGAAAAATTAAGTGTTACGGGGGCACGCCCCCGTCTTGGACTTAATTCTACGTAATCCTCCGCTAAGATCGCCCCCCTCCCCCGCTTTTGTGCTCTCGCTCGTCACTCCACCGCATAATTCCGCTTTCGGGTAAGGTCGATCGAGATTTTCATCTCTCCGCCTCGCGCAAGAATAGGATTTTTTGTCGCTCGCTAATCGTCCAGGATTACATCTTGTTCGGCAAAGCGAAAGGATTTCTCGAAGGAGCTCGCAAGTATACCATCTGAATGTTGAGAGCGAAACGAGACCGGACCCCGAAGCGAGAGACCGCGGAGGGAGTCTCGCTTTGTGTCCGTTTACGCGCTCCCGACTGATAAGAGAGTAAAGATCGAATGTCCCCCCCTCCCCCGGCGGAAACTGAGCGAAATGAAATTTCGCCCGACCGTAGAGTACAGGTTGTACCGCATGAAAGGACTTTTTCCCAGCCGGTCGCGCTCAAATAATAATGAAGCTTAATTACATGAGGCCAAGTCGATATGTTGGCGATACAAATATTTAGAGGGCGGGCGCACGGTGGTCGTGAAACGATGTTATTAGTAAATTAACTGACATCAAAGAAAATGCGAGCGCTGGTCACTTACTCTGCTAATGGAGAGCCTGCATCCTTCTGCGTGCGACAGTTATACAGAGACACACACCTTTATTACATATATATATATATATATATATATACATATATATAATTTTATAATATGTCTGACTATATACTTTCTATAGTTGCAATTTACCAGCACTACTCGCTTCGCGTGACATTTGACAGAAAGATTATAAATGTTCCGTAGACGTTTCAATAGAAACTCGGATGGCTAATAACCAAATAAGCCATCTATCGAGCAGCGTTATAATATTTCGTTGGACTGTTGAATCAATAGAAATCAACTATAGGGATGCTGGTCACAATCCGCCAACACATTGGTCCTGCTCATCTTCAACCACACCGCTCAATTACACCGAGCGGTCGCGCTCGTTTCCCGAAACCGCGGCGTGGTCGTGGTCGTTGACGAACGGACGTTTTGACGATCATCACTACGAGTCCAAATCCCATAGGTTGTCGACGTTTAAGGGGATGACGGCAGGGGGCTTTCCCTGACGGGGAAGCCGGAGGATCCGCGCTACCCTTCGGTCCGTCTTACATCGCAGAGAGATCGGCTGCTCTCCACCGGGTGTCCGTTGCGCAGGGTCTCAAGGGAGATTTTTCTTTTTTTCTCGTTCCTCGGCCTCGCCGGACTAAATTTCGCGCGTTAAGCCCTCGGTGTAATCCCGCCCTTAATATTCAAAAACGTGATCGCCCTGCCAAGCGCGCCGAGGAACTGGTCCATGGCTGGTCCAACGGAGATGCCACCTCGACGGGGGGAGCTTTTCATATGCTAATTGGCATTCGTCATTTTCTTATGGCGCCGACTTAAGTGTGCTTAAGGCTGCTAACTCCTTCCTTGGCGTTAGAGCTGGCTAGGCCTCGCCGGCGTCCTCGTAATTGGACCTCTCGCGACTCGAACCGCGCTCACATGCCAGTGAATACGAAATTCGTCATTCGCAAACGCTTTCGGGAACTCCAATCGGGAGCGCAATGAACCAATCGAGTTATGAGAGATGAGATTTACGCGTATCGGCGGTCTCTCTCGTATAATAATTCGTGTAACACACACGCATATACACATACACATACAGAGACATATAGATATATAGGGTGTCCGGGATCTTTTGGAGACGAAGAATTGTGAAGATCAATCGGATGAAAGTGAGAAGAAAAGTCAAGTGCCATTTTGCAAAAATCGCTATAGTTATTAATGATTGAAAACGACTACATCTAGAGACTCTTTTAATTGATAACTTGAAAATTTGCGCATTTATTTGCAAAAGACTTTTTGTTCAGAATTACCTAAACTATAATTATGTGACAGCTGTTGCGTTTACAATAGATATGAGTATATTGAACATTGAACCCTAAATCTTGAACCTGATAGATTAAGTCATTCTGAGTGAAAAAGTTCTTTGTCATTTTGCAAATTTTCAAGTTATCAATTAAAAGAGAAAGATGCGATCATTTTCAATAATTAATAACTTAACTGTTGCGATTTTTGCGAGATAGTACTTAACTTTTCTTCTCGGTTTGATTTGATTAACCTTTACAATTTTTCGTTTTTCCAAAAGATCCCGAACACCCTGTATAACATATGTAATACATATGTCTACCGCTTAAGGGGACTGGAGGGTCAGCTTGCTGAAAAATCGTGCTTGTTTTTGATAATATTTTGTGACGAACTGAATAAATGTGCAAGAATGAAAGGTTTTAGGTATAGTTATACAACATATGAAGAGTAGAAAAATTTTGTTTATTAACAAATATTCGTATAAATATATGATATATATAGCTGAAATATACTGTCCTTTTTTTTTAATTTATCGTTTTTGCAGTAATATCTCGGCTCTCGGTGAGGAGGCTTAACATTATCCGGTGAACCACTAGGAAAAAAAATCGACCAAAATTAACAAAATGGCAGCTGTTATTAGGAAAAAATTTAAATTTTTCAGTTCTTTTACAGTAAGAAAATTAATGTCTTGAGATGACATATTTTGACGGAGTTGTCTATGGTTCACCCGAGAGCCACATAAACAAATATTATTGCTTTAAAATCTCAAATCGATACGAAGCTCGGTTTCGGAGAAATCACTGCAAACAGTTGAACAATAAAATTTCGAGAAAAGCGCGTTTAAAATTTAAGCGGACGTACATTTATATGAGTATTTGTTTAAAAACAAAATTTTTCTATTCTTCACATGTTATATAAATATATGTAAAATTTTTATTCTTGCACATCTATTTACTTCGTCACAAAATCATTCGTCAAAAGCAAGCACGATTTTTCAGTAATCTGCCCCTCCAGTCCTCTTAATAAACTTAAAAACGTACACGTGATGCAAATATTATAAAATTCCTCATCGATTAGATCGCAAGTTCTTAAGTGTCATAAGTGACTAAAGATGAGCGTTCTTTACTGATAGACTTTCTATTCTTTTTAGCACGATGAGACCGTCGAGAAACACGCATGTACGAATGCATTGACCTCTCGCCGAGGCAAATTTCGGGCAAATGTTAAGGCAAAAATCAGTGGTAACCGACAGATGTTTTTAATCCGAATAGCAGCGGTTGAGATAAAAGGCGTTCCCGATTATCTCCCTTCCGCTCTCGCGCACATTGAATCAGCGCACACCTTCGTGCGATGTATGCGCCGGTGTAATGTTATTCCCATCTCTCTCACATTACACTCTAACTTTATCGAGAGATATCTCGGCGGCATATCTGTATGAAGATAACACGGGTATTCGTCGTCGAACTTGTGCCGCGCCTGTGCGCTCGTATTCTACGCTCGCGTTCCTCTTGCGCAACGAAAGAGGGTTCAACGGAGACATTCCCAGAGGAAGGTGCCGGCCAGAGAGTGAACTCTTTTTCACGCGGGATGTTGAGGCCGCGCGAGTGCGCAGTGGGAAGAGTAAGGCACTGACGCGACGAGACACGACGGATGCGATTTTCGTCACAAAGTGAGCCAGGACGGAGCGAGTCTGAGTAAACGTAAGTACGTGCCCGATGCAACGTGTGCGTGAACAAGGTGCTTTCCACCTTGTAGTCTTATTCGTCCGTTAAATAACGTTCACTCACCATTGTACTCCTCTCATCGTCTCGTTTGAAAAATGTATCGCTCGCTATCGGAGACACCTATGACGCCTCCGCGAATCTGAGGAAGCAGTGACTCATAATGACACATAAGCTGACCCACATCAGAGACACGTGTCGTGAATTCGCGTCTGTCCTCGCGGTGTCATCGAATGTCGCGTATGACAGCTCGAGATTTGTCTCTGTGGAAAAAGATCCCCCAAAGGACTGAGTGAAAAGTCGAAAAAAAAAAAAGATACACGCGAGGTTACGATCGCGATGAAAAGTCGCGTGATCGCGGCGGTACGGAAGAACGATAACAACGCTGTGTGATAACGAAATGTATTTCGTTTCGATGAAGGGCCGTATCGCGCTTCGGGGAGAAATGACGATCCGTCTCCAGGAGGTGGTGAGGTCGGATGTGGAAGGCGGCTTGTCGGGACCAGCGAATCCGATACCAAACCAGTCGATCGATTGCGGCTGCGGACAGATGCAGTGCCCGAAACTGGCGAAATTCGCCACGCGGAAGCTCTTCGTGGGATTAATATGCTGGGTCGGAGTGGTGCAAGCCGCGGCCCACGCCTATTTCTATGTGACAGGCTCCACGATAGCCAGGAGGTTTCAGATCAATCCTTATCTAATGGGTGCGTATCACAAAGTGTTTCGCAGTCGCGCGCCGGCAATCGCGAGAGACAACGGTCACTTGAGATGATGCTCGAAACGAAAGACGGAGAAAAGCATCGCCTAAGGAACTTCTCTCCCGCAGACTGGATCCTCGTCACGGCGGACTTGACGCCGTTTCTCCTCGGACTGATCGTAGCGTACTGGGCCGACAGGATGCACCGAACTTCGTGGATCGGCGCTTTGACTCTGCTGGAAAGCGTCGCGTATTTTGTTCTGATAATACCCCATTTGGCGCATCGTGTTCGCGTGGGCGAAGAAGCGCCAAACGCCACTCACATGTCATTATACGCAGGTCAGTCGTCCGAAACACAAAAGCCCAGTCGGCGTTGCGTCGATTACCTGACGCGAGAGCGGATAGAATTCTTCTTCGCACCAACGAGGCATCTTGAATTTCAGACGACAGTCCGGAGCTGTGTGCTTCCGGAATATCCAAGATCATCGTGAAGGAGGACGAGACCTGTTACTTCACCATGATCGTCCTCATTGTAGTATTGGTCATAAGCGGGGCGGCGAATATCGCGTACTACGCCCTGGGCATCTCCTATCTGGACGACAATACGAAGAAGAAGCACGTGAGCTCATTCATCGGCGTGATCATCGCCGTGCGCATCATCGGCGTCCTCCTCGGCTATCTCTTGGGCTGGGGTTGTCTTCGGTGAGTGTTTCGGCGGAACTTACAGCGACCGTCACGCGACACTTCCCTAGCGATTAAATACGTGTAAGAAAGAAGAGGAGAAGAACGAACGAACGTGTGTAAAAATGTACACATAATTATTTCTTAACGTATCAACTCGCCCAGGATAGATGCGGAAAATCTCAACGTCGTGCGGTCATATCGGGATCACATCGGAGCGTGGTGGCTCGGCTTCCCGATTCTCTCGATATTGTTGGTGGTGCCCGGCCTGTTGCTCGCATGGTTCCCCAGAAGACTACCTTCAGAGGTACAACTCGGTCAACTTATCAGCCGGTATCGTATAAGGCGACATCCTTTAATCCTTTGACGCTCGACTTTGTTATAAGTGTTTTAAGAATAAAATTTGAGCCTTTTTGAACTGAGACTGTAAATAGTGATAACCGAAAAAAATAGAGAATTTTATACCTACGAAAAACTACCTTTCCAATGTAAAGTAATGTAAAGTAAAATGTAAAGTAATAGTCTACTTCTGAGCGAATAAATTTGTATTTTTTTTTTTTGTAAATATAACGGTAAAAATGATGAACATGGACACGTTCAGAGATGGTTATCCAGATGGAAAAACCGTGTAACAATTACACGGAAAATCAGCATCAATCGTTTACTTCTGAACAAACGAGTACATGAAGTTTCCGCTTTTCGTTCGTTGGTTTCGTTAGTTTGGTTTTTTCATCGTTCGTTTTTTGTTTATTGGCGAATATGACTTGGATCCTAAAAGCATATACGAAATGAGCAACCTGTACAGAGAAAAATGAAGGGTAATCTATATGATATAACTCTGATAGTCAGCTTGACATTTTTCAGAAACTTTACTATATTTGTGAATGAAGTTTATCATTCAGAGCGTCAAGCTTACTATTTCAGAAGAATATCTTATAGATCATCACCATTTAGATAGTCATTCGTCCCTTCATTTTTCGCCGCATAAAAAGCACTGTAGATCACCAGGTTTCACGAAAATAAGTTGATTTTTTTATTTTCGTGTCCACCATATTGGTTTCGCCATTTTGAATTTCTGTATTCTTTTAATTTCACATTTTGCATCTGAGCAAGCTCCCAAATGTATAAAATTATAACAGACACCAATCTATTCATTTATAGTGCATTTTTTAGATGTCAGTAACAATGCTAACTGTGCCTACTTGGAATTTGACAAAACATGTTATCATTAAAACTGAGCTAAAAACAGACTAAACCGAATCCACATACAATCTATATAGCATTTTTTAGAAGAAGAGTTCACCTTTACAGTGCAGGTGCAAAGAAAACGAAAATATCTGCTTTCTTCACTAAGTTATGGATTCTTAAATACGTTTCTACGTCAACTATAGTCACCAGTAGGCGTTAAAGGGTTAAACATTAAGCTTCGTTATGTTATCGTTATGTCACACTTACTGTACCATTTTTGTTTCTTTCCTCAAGAATTGAATTTAATTACAACTAACGACGTACTTCAACGCTAGGTTGTCGAGCAAGCAGCCGCCGCGCTGCTCGACCGGTCCGCTGTGTACAACCGAGCACCTCATCGAGCGACCTATCAGGCCGGTAGTCCTGATTTTTGGCCGTCGCTCGCGAGGCTGATCACCAACAGGATTTACATGTGCAACGTGCTGGCGACGGTACTCTGCGCCACTGCGCTGCTAAGTTTCATGACGAGCGAGGACATCTTCTTGGAGTCGAGATTCCACATAGCCAGGCCGACGGGGATGCTCCTTGGGTTTAGCGACCCTCTGCAGTCCAGGCTGGTTATCAGTAAGAGCAGGGGCCACATACCACCCGATAAGGCCGTATAGATAAAAGAAAGGAAATTAACGATTATTTTTACGGGGCGGTATGAAAAAATAGATATTGTGTCACCCCATAAATAACGCGGATTTGTCGACGATTAGCGCGAATCGCGATAGTCCTCTTGCGACCTTTGCGGTAAGGAGAGAAACAGCAAAACGTGATAAATCAAAGTGTGAAGTGTTAACGATCGTTTGAAGTGCACGAACGCAGTCTCAGTGAGATTCAATTTCTGTTTCGCTTCCCTCAACACTCACACAATGTAACACTCACACATCTGATTGCAGATACCTCGAAACCCGTCCTGATTGGCCTGATCGTAATTATCAGCGGCTTAGTGTTAGCCAAGGCAAAGCCGCGCGCGAGATTTATCGTTGGCTACGGTTTCGTCATGGTGCTTCTCACCATAATAATTATGATCCTGCTGATCTTCGTCACCTGCGAAAAGCCGCCTATCGTCGGGATGGACCAAGGCTCGTAAGTTCGCTGGGAGCTAACATTCGTTGATACATGTAACAACAAAATAACAACAACGAAATGATACAAAATGATAACACGTGTCCGTAGTCGCGCAGCAAACATTCGACAGTGGAATCGTACGATCGACTTACCACTTATCAGCTAACCGAATTACACAGTCTATTGGATCTTCTGTGCAGGGACGGGCTGTTGAAATATTGCAACAAGAATTGCCGATGTTCGAGAGACGCCGAATTCCGACCGGTATGCGAAAGCCTGGGGACGTACACGTACTATAATCCTTGCTACGCCGGCTGCACCACGATCATTTACGTCGACAACGTAAAGATCTACAGCGGCTGCAGCTGCGTGAAATATATGACAGGGTGGGATAATGACCAAGCGAAAGATGGGCCATGCGACTCGTCGAGATGTCAGGCCGGTTGGATGCTTTTCCAGGTGAGGTGACACTGTCTCGTCTCTTTATGTCGTATTACAGAAGCATCATTATTCCACCAAATCCCGCCGCAGCCGGAAGATCATAAATTGCCATAGGAAAGATGCTCTCTCTTCCTTTTCAGTTTGGAACTTGCGTGGCGTACGCGCTAGTCGCTTCTACGTTGGTCGGGGATCTACTGATCAATATGAGGTCCGTCTACAAACAAGACAAGGCAATCAGCATTGGTTTCTGGATGGCGTGCGCCGCGATCTTCGTCAACGTCCCCGGCAAGATTCTCTATGAGATCGTGTCGTACCAGGCGTGTCAGTATTGGGGCCAGCGGAGGATAATTTGCCATCTGCACGACGGCGAAAACCTCGGGAGCTACCTGTGCTACCTGACGATACTGTTTCTGTCACTATGTCTCGTCCTCCGAGCTCTTGTCTGGCTTTTCTCTAAGAATTTGCAGCTCTACGGGGATGTCGAAAGTGAGGCCAAGAAAGGTGTCGAGATACAAGAACTGGTGGAGCAAGCGAAGCCACCACTCGAGGAAGCAGAGGTACCGATCAACGATAGTAAGTATCCCATTTCGTTCAGAAATAAGCAAAATTGCGCGTGTGTTTAATCGAAATTGGAAGATTGCCATGTTGACTAATGAGTGCTCCAACACAATTGACATCTTCAACGTGTGTGTCGCCTAACTACTCTCAGGAACTCAGACTATGTGTAGGTTACTTCTTGTTCGAAATTTTGATTTTCTACAATTTTCTACAATTCCTCACATTTTTTCTTGATGTGGCGAAACAAATACACCGATTTTGTTCTTGCAAATCCAATGGGACAAATCTTAATAATAAAATTTTAATAACGGTATCTTTATTTAATAACAATAACAATAATAATAATAATAATAATAATAATAATAATCATGATGATGATAATAATAATAATAATAAGATGTAGATGATACGACGGCACAAGTGGAGGCGATCGTCGAGCCGGAGTCGATATCGTCACCGGAGACAACGTTGCCGGAGGAGAAGCCGTCGCCCGAGGAAGAACACAGCCAGAAGAACGCACCTGTAAAGTTCGGCGATCGTCGAGCGACGAATTCGAATAATCCGGCAAAGAGCAATTCGCAAGGAACGATCCAAAATCTCGACTCCGAGGACGAGCTGTACAGTTCGAGCGACGAGAGCAAGAAAGGATCGAGCCCCCGAGTGGCATACACGCCGCTGGAGCTCGACTCCGACATCGAGAGCGACCTTAGCAGCACAGGACCTAGGTCGAGAAAGCGCGTCCCCAGCAAGGACTACGACCAGACGTCGTACAACGTCCCCGAGGAGGACAGCGCCTCGTCGTCCAAGAACTCGTCTATAAAGCGCCGCTTCCCCAATCCCGATCACTACGAGGATCCGCGTAGGACCAAGAACGCCAAGTTCCGAAATCAGAATGGCTACCAGGACGGCTCGTGCAAGACGAGCAGCTTCGAGTTCTCGGCGAAGGGTCAAGAGAGTGACGTGCTCAATCAAGGGGACTTCAACGAAGTTGGCATACCGATAATGGATCCGTTTCCGGACGGTAAGGGCGACCTCGTCCCCGCCAACACGGACGCGCACTCGAAGGACGTGAAGTCGCTGATCGATCAATACGAGCAGAACGCCAGTCAAGAGGCCATAGACGAGGATCAATTGTCGGCCAAGTCGGCGGAGGTTACGAGGACTCGGCCGGAGAACAAGATCGTGTCCGGCATTCCTCTGGTGGCCATGGTCCCTGCCAGGCAGTCGTCCCGACTACCATCCCCCTCGGGCTCCGGCAGCTTGCCGGATGCCCCGGACAAGGCTGCCGATCATCCTCGCGCGGATACGAAACGCATGACGTCGAGCCCGAAGAGCGCCGCCAAGGGAGATAAACCCTCGTACTGCACCGATCTCTGAAATTGTGGTCGCGGCAAACTGCGCATGACAAGTGACTGCTCGCGCTCACGTGAATATTTATGGAGCGGGACGGGGGGGAGGGAGGGAGGGAGGGAGGGAGGGGATTAGAGCGGCCCCAATAGTGGAAAATCAGGCGCTCAGGTGATGAATTTACAGCTACGGGAGATAAGAGATTCTGACGAGTCTCGAACAGTCATCGTCGTCTTCGGCATCGTCGTCGCCGGCTTTCGTTCCTCGAGAGATAAGAGATGTATGACGGGCTGCATGCGGCGGGTGTCTCTTCAAGTTATCTCTGCTGGCCGTGAGTACTTCGAAAGCGACGCTCTCATCGATCGGTAATCCTTCTGGTTTGTCCACGGCGAGCTGAAGAACGAGCAAATGAACGCTTTGTTTAGTGAAAGAGAGAGGGACGCGTCTTCGCAAGCGCACACGTATTCAATTTTTCTTAATAATTGCTGCGTAAATAACACGTGCGTGATTTTGCACGGCCGAGGGTATACGGGATGTTTCCGGGGGTAGGGGTTGATTTTCTGAACGGCTGAACGTGGGGCTTCCTCGACGGAAAGGTTGGCGCCCGCGGTGGCGATACGCTATTTTCGCATCGATCACAAAGTGTCTCGATCTTAAGTGCAGTTGTCGCTCTAGTTGGCGCGTGAATCCTGATTTACAGGTGATATATATCCATCTTACTACGCTACAACCATCTCGAAGACTTGTTGTTACACACTGGAAATAAAATATCCGCCGAGCTCCGCAGCCATCGTGCGTGACACGAAGCATGCGCGCAATGACATTCTTTGTAACGATTGTCCTTTTGATAATTTATTACACGATTAAAATCCATATCTCGTATAATTTTGTGGACTACTCTCTCTCTCTCTCTCTCTCTCTCTCTCTCTCTCTCTCTCTCTCTCTCTCTCTCTCTCTCTCTCTCTCTCTATCTCTCTCTATCTCTCTCTCTCTCTCTCTCTCTCTCTACCCTCTCTGCGGCAACGGTGACAACCTCTTTACTCGAAAGTAAGCCGACCGCGCTCGACACGAGTCCTGCATATAGATTAAAATTCCATTCCGACGCTCCGGGAAAGGATTCTTTCGAGCGGAGCTCGCAACTCGTTGTCTAAACAACCGATATATACATCATACGTGTAATTGTTATTATGTATGTGTGTGTGTGTGTGTGTGTATGTGTGCACGCGTGCGAGAGTAGATAAATTATAGTTACTTACTATTTATATACTGATTCCACAAGTGTAATCATTGTATGTACAATTATTTGACTTTATAGATGATTTGCGCTAAGACAACGTGCATCATTGCTCTCATCATTAACAGTCTGTAAGCGGCGCGCACGGAGCGCGTACACCTCCGATACACCTCGTATGAGCCATCGGCACAATCGGCGCAATTAAGACCGGCCTTCGTTCTTTGGCGCTCGCTCGCGCTCGAATCCAAAGTAAAGCAAAATATACGTTCCAGCCGCAAACCGCAGGCGCTAATTCGGCAGCCGTCGCGCGGCTGTCGCGATCGAAGCGCGATGGGTCATAATTAGGCCGGGATCGACGAGACCTGGGAAAGGGGTCTCGCGTTGCTCTCGTCTTCGAGTACCGCGGATGATCTACCAATCGATCGACTCTGTCTAGATTACTTAAAATATATCTAAGGGGATGCTTAAGGTACTTGTAAAGTCTTTATTTGTCGGTTCTCGCTCATCGCGGCGTCCTTCGCGGTTGCTCCTTCTTCGCCCTCCCTCCTCGTGATCCCCTCGTGAGGCTCCCTTTCGCGCGACGCACGCCCCGTAGGGGCGCGAGTGAGCTTACTCGAAGTCGATAATTATTCCTTAGAGCGTCTCGCCGGGCTCCTCGGCTATGTCCTCCAGCTCGATCTCCTCGTCGAAGATCTTCACGTCCTTCACGTAATACCAGACACCCACGTCGAATAACGTGCCGATCGTTACGAAACCTGAAACGACAAGGACGGCTGGTGTGAGCGAGACAATTGGAAAACTCGCTCCTCCCGTTTCCGCTCGTTTTCTTCTCGCTTCTTCTCGCTTCATCCATCGGTCTCAGTACAATAGACACTTACTGGCTGCGGTGAAGTTCAGCAGGTACCTCAGGGTCTCGCCGTTGTACAGCCAGCAATTGCCCGTGCCCGAGCACGTTTTGCCCCACACGAGGCAGGTCTTGTCTGCGACAGATAAAATATATTTAATCAGTCTCCAAACAGAGAGAGAGAGAGAGAGAAAGCAACAGCGCGAGATTAATCGTACACGCGTATTCGATAACGATCCCGATCGACCGGTCGTTATGGTATACGCAAGTGGATAAAGATGCAGAGAACGAGAACACTGAGCGATTTGTTCTTACTATTTGCTGATAATGTGCGCGTCAAGCAACCCCCTCCCCCAGCCGCGCTGTCGATCGTCATTGATCGCATGTGTGTACAAATGAAGCGCTCTTATCGCTAACCTAATATGAATCCAAACAGTATAGGCGACGGTATGAAGGCGAAGAGGCTCATGATCGTCAAGCCGAAGCCCATGGCGACCGTCTTGTCCTTCTCGTCGACGCACCGCACGGAAACCAGAAAATTCGACGCTCTCCCGGTCGCCCCGCTAAACTTCAGCAGACACACCACCGTGAGGAAGATGTAGAACTTGTGCATACAGTCGACCGGGCACGAGCCCGGAATAGCCGTTCCCAGAGCTTCGACGAGGGGCTCGGTAGTGTCCAGCGGCGACTCCGTGGAGAACGGGAAGGTGATGTTGGCGTACGAGTGCGTGAGAGAGCGGGACAGCTTCGGCTTCACGCAGCTGCAGTTCGTGTAAACCTTGCTGCCGTTGCTGAAAAGCTGAGGGGAAAAGTCCAATTCAGGGATTCAGGATTGACGTGACGACACACTCGCGTGGACTTGACTTGGCGAAGCATGACGCGTACGCGAAATGCGAAAACCAAACATGAATCGTAATTAACCGCGACTACTCGAGCGGCGACAGATATGAGAATCGAATGTGGGAGAGATTTCGTCCCGCCTCCCACTTTCGACTTTACTTACGGCAAAGTTAACGTCGGCAAGTCGGTCGTTACTTTACTCTTCGCTTCGAGAATCATCTGCCGCTCTCGACATCAGAAGTCAAGACGACCGCGGCGAGTGGTCGAGAGAATGTCGATGCAAAGAAGAGAGAGAGAGAGAGAGAGAGAGAGAGAGAGAGAGAGAAACGAGAGTCGCGAACCTTCATGTTTCGGCAGCCGGCGTGACAAGCCGATATAAACGTCTGCCCGTGCTCGGAGCACACCGGGTTGTAGGTGACGTAGTCGCAGTTGCACTGCTCGTTGCAGGGCAGCTTGGTCTTCAGGGCGCCGCTCGGCTGGATGGCGATCTGGTTGTCGTTCGCCGAGCAGCCGAGGAAGGCGTAGGAGATCATCCCCATGATCGATATGATGCCGATCATGACGTTCCACGCCGCCAGGTACCTGGCCTTCGGCTTGTACTTGGAGATGATCAGACCGGACAGCAGGATCCCGAAGGCGCTGAACACCAGGCCGACCGTGCCGGTGATGAGCGACGAGACGGACGCCGACTGTTTGTATTGGGTCTCGATGTACTTGGGCATGAAGATCCAGTACGGCATGTAGCCCATGAAGTAGAACACCGTCGCCAGGTTGTTGCACATGAGGGTGGTGTTGGTGAGCAGCCGCTTGAATGTCCTCAGCATGTCCGAGATCGAGGCCGGTAGCTCCGATTCTTGCTCGCCCTTGATGCTCGCGGCGGATCGGTTGCGCTCCAAGGCGAGGACCTTGCGCGCGGCCGCCCTCGGCAGGGTCTTCGGGAAGAGGGCGATCACGCTCGCGAAGATGAACAGCAGAATGGCCAAGATGATCCAGCCGAGCCACCAAGCGCCCAGCCACCTGGAATCCCAGAGTCGCGTCGGTCATCGCGAAACGGTCATCTCGACGACGAGTCACCGCGAGTGCCACGTACCTCGGGTCCTGCGTCGTGATGGTGGGAGTTAGGGTCGGGCTGATGTAGAACTTCAAGGCGAACGAGGCCAGCCCGTAGCCAATCGCCGGCCCCAGCATCCTCAGGAAGTAGGAGAAACTGATTAACGCCGGCGTCTTCGACTTCTGTATGTTGTCGTCCATGTACGACACTCCGAGGGTGTAGTAAAGGGAGCCACCCACTCCGGACACTAACTGCGCTATGAAGAGCAGCACCTGAGGCGCAAAGTTCACGTCGTCGACCTCGCAGTCAGTGGTGCGGCTCTCCCTGGCCAGGCAGAGGAATTTCCGGTGCTTCTCGGAAATCACGCTCATGTTCCGCGTGCTCTGCGGCTTCGTCCCGTATTCCTTGGTAAGCGACAGGGCGTCCTCGCCGGGCCCGTAGAGGAAATGCGGCAGCATCGTTAGGCAGCAGAAGAGCACGACCTGGCCAAGATAGAGCGAGAGCGTTTACTCTACGGGAACGCGCTTCTCGCTTGCGCTTAAAAACGCGCGAGATCCCTTTCTCGCGCGACCTCCACAATTTCGTTCTTCCTATCTTTCGCGTTATTTATTATCTCAGAGCGCGTTGATATCGCGCTCCTTTTACAAGAGTAAGAGTACGCAGAGAGACGATCAGTCATCAGCTCGGTGCGAGCAGCGTGCGCTCCGCAAGCGCCTCTTTGCTATTCGAAGAATGGAGCGCTTAGCTAAGCATACGACGGCGAGAGAGTACGATGGTAAGAGAGGCATGAATGAGCGTAGCTACGGTTCCAACGCTTCCTAATTTAATTAAGAGCCGGCCAACCGGTGAGGTATGACGTCTCCCGACTCGCGTTCCTCGCGGGGCGTGTGCCGACAGCTGATTTCATTTCTTCCCGACGCGATTGGAAAGTGTGCCGCTAATGTAATGTTACGACACGTTACGACCGCGCTAATCGCTAATATCGTACGCGCCGATATCCGCGCTGGATGGGCGAAACTTACGGTGTAAATACCGAATGCGATCCATCGAGGCCTGTGACCCCTTCCTGCGTAATACGACAGAACGACGGACACGAAAAGCTGCGAGATGTCGTTTCCCACTGTGATGAGACCTGTGACGAGAAAAAGCGCGAGTAAAGCCGTATTAGACGGGCGTTATTAAGCTGGAAAATGGAGTCAGTTCCGTATCTCTACCAGAGATTTTACTTTGTCCCCTCGAACACAAATATCGGAACATTCAACGTTGTACATATAATTCTCGAAGTGTCGAGAACGTCTCGAGTTGGTATCTCGCTCGATATTAGGACACTTTTAAATTTTCCTCCGAGCGAAATTTCACTCGGATCGTCCAGTGAGTATTTTCACTCTTGCGAGTATATTTCTGTTCTGATCGATTGAAACTCGTTCTTCGTCCGCAGTCAGAACTCACTTTTGCGATTCCGGGTGAGACGGTGTCTCGTCTCGAGTGAAAATATATCGCCACGTTTTGGCAGCACAATACGTAGCGTAAATTTCTGAGGACCGTCTCGATCGTAATCTGATCTGGCGTAACGATCCGTGTCATCCGCACGTGTCGTCGCGCACACACACACACACACACACACACACGCGCAGGTGCGGACCGCCTTTGGGGGGTTCGAAATTTCGTCGTTTCACGCAGTTCGCGCTTCGACCCGAGCGCGACGTTCCAAGTCGCGGTGATTAATGGCCACTAATGGCATCGAGATACAGATGTAGGAAATTATTTCCTCTCTGCTGAACGAATCTCATTCAACACCTCCAATAGGTGAATTCACCGTTCGCGTTACCGTACCGCGCAGGAGGAAAAAGACCAGTTTCACGTGAACGTGGAACTCGCCGAAGGCTCGTTCCGCTCGAAGGGAACAACAGGACTTCTGACTTCGTCAGACTTTCACAGCTCACATAGAGCAGAAAAGTCCTGCTTCCTCCGAGCGAAAGGCATTCGGCTCGTCACGAGCTTGTCACGTCGATTCAACGAATCAGTATCGCCGTCTCCGTTCGATAGATCGACGCAACGCGTATCTCGCACTTACCCGTTGTCTTGGAGGGTATCTTGAATCTCTTCTCGATGGTGGTGATGGTGCCGTTGAAGTAGGCGTAACTGGCGGAGAATATGCAGCCGAGCACACCGTAGAGGAACACGTAGGCCTTCTTGTTGGCGAACCGCTGCAAGATCGGGCCCTTGAAGCACCATATGCCGCAGGAGGTGTCGTCGGTGATCGGCAGCTCCCTGAAGACATCCTCGACACCTCTGGTCGGCGTGGTAGGCGACGAGGGTGTAGCTGGCGGCGTCGTCGGCACCTGCAGCAGCTTCAGGTTCTCCGGCCCGTTCTTCTCGTGATTCGAGTTGCTCGAGTTGTTCTTCATCTTCGCCTCGAGCTAATAGTCGCGACTGCCCGCGACTAGCAAGCAGCACAAGCTGGCGGCTGCGACTTCGCGCGGACCTCTTCAGTGACCTCAATCGCGTATCGCACGAATACGATGTGACTTTGTCTTCCACGCGGCCCTTGGCATCGCTTTTCCGTTCCGATCGGCTTCAACCCCCGCGCTCACTCACGCGGAATCACGCGTTGCTGCTGTTGCTGTTGCTGTTGCTGTTGCTTCTCCTCCTCGTCTTTCCTTCTTCCTCTTATCCTTTCGCTTCTACTAGTAACGCGCCTCGTGTCGTCCCGTCACTTTGTCACGGTCACGTGTTCTCCATGTTTCGGCTCGGTCGCGGTTGGGCCAACACCTACGCCGGGAGATCAGGGGGTTGACTGCTGCAGCTCGTGCGCGCGACCCGCCGATTTATGCGCGGCTGGCTGACGCTCGGAGACGAGCAGGAGGACGATGACGAGCGCCAGCTCGTTCGAACCTTGAATCGAAGAGCCGAAGACGGTATATTTGCACAGCGGTCGCCGACTAGATGTCAATCAATATTATCGGACTACGGCTGTTTGGGAGAGACGATATTATCGGGGCGTAATGTTTGAACGGCTTTGCTGCAAAAGTGGCTAATCGGTCTGTGCTACCGAGCAAACAGAAAGCAACAGAGAAAGGAAAAACACTGGACTTTGTTTCGCGTAAGTGCCGAGCAAGCGCCGGGATATCCTTATCGATAAGTCCGATAAGTTGCAACAATTCGCGTGCGTCTCGCGCGTCTGTGCGCAGATGATGGTCGTTACATCGAGATCGACGGGGTGCGAGGGCGGGGGGGAGGGGGAGGGGGAGGGGGAGAGGGGGAAAGCTACGCGCGTCAAAATCGTTCAGCCTGCATGAGATCGGCGATCTCGAGATTGATAATGCGAGCAATTGTGCGACACGAGGAGCGGCCGGGCCAGCAGCACCTACCGTTGCAGCCTCGGGCGAACAAAGTTCGCCGATCGGATGGAACCGGGCTCGCGACCGGGCGGTGACACGATTCCTCGGTCGGCGGCTCGCAGGCGAGCGTGGCGAAGCAACGTGCAGCTCTCTCCCCGCGAAATATAGATTCGCGTCCGAAAAGCAGGGCTTTTCTTCCGCAACTGAGGTGCCGTAGCGCAACACACAGAGAGCGGCCCGTCTGCCCGGAGGAGCCTGCAGACGATCCCCACCTTCCGCCCCGAGGAACCGATCGTACGAGACAGATCCGCGATGGTGGGTCCCCTTACACATACCTACGGTGTGCCTCATCTACGCGGTCCGCCGCGTGTCGTTATCAAGCGGGTAAATTCTGTCTCCTGCGATCAACCTATTCCCCCACCCCGTCTGTTCTCTCTTTTTCTCTCTCTCTCTCTCTCTCTCTCTCTATCTATCTATCCGTCTCACTCTCTCCACGAGCACCCCTCTTTCCTTCGCCCTCCTAACCGATCACGATTCTTTCGTTCCTACCTCTCTCTGCGACCAGAGACTGGCCGTCCTCGTCGGGAGCGTCGTCAGCGCGACCGTCTCCGTCTCTGATAACCCGTACCTGCAACGAATGACGGCCCAGGGCTGGGGAGTAGGGGCTCTTTTACGGTTTTTGATTTCTAAGCGGAAAAGGAGAGGCAATTAACACCGGGGTAAGCGCCCGGTACAGCTCGCGAAATCAGCCGGTGGAGCCGGTGACGGGGACGAGACACCATCGTCTCCGTTCCCCCGTGACCGTAGTGTTTTATCGAGTCTGTTTGACTATCGCCAGATTCGCGCTAGCCATGACTATCTAAATCCTATCTGCACCCATTTCCGAGTAATTTACGATGCGCGAGGTACGCCTGTTATTTGATGGTGCAACCTACGAGATACCGCGTCGTTGCTGCGCCGATAAGTGGATATCTCTCTCTCTCTCTTTCTCTCTCTCTCTCTCTCTCTCTCTCTCTCTCTTTCTCCTTGAAAAATGATTACTTTATTCCCAAGTTACACCATCGGTTGCCACCGTCGCCTACGCGCAGCTACTCGCGCCGCGTCGCTGCTTCCTCCTCGCCCGTTGGAGAACGAAACGAGCCTTCGCGAATTCGCAAGTTCGATTAATTAATGGAAACGGGAGAAAATACACGCGCGTGTGTCCGTATTGTTCTCTATAATTTTTCCGCGAAAATTACAAATATCGCTGCTACTGCATAAATTTCCATGACCATCCGCGGCGGTTTGCGCCAACTACATAATCTAAGGAGATATTCACGATGATGATACGAAGGAATGTTACGAATAGCGCTAAAGAAAGAGATTCTCCCCGCATCAACGAATTCTTTTCTACGCGACGTTTCCGTCCGGGACGGGAATTTTACTTTCGCAAATTTCCACTTTCCTGGCCGCGTGCACAACGCCCGCAGCGTGTTATCTCGCGACGTAGAGCCGAGAATCACCGCGAGAGCGTCACCGCGAGGCGAGCGTGGACGAGAGATGAAGAGAACAACGGCGACGCGGAAGAAACGTTCTTCCGCGAAAGTGCCTGTTTCTCCACCCTCGCGGTTGCCGCGTTATTGGAGAAACGGGGCGCATCTAGCCCCCTACTCGGGACTGCTCGCGACGCACGGACTACGACGAGGTTTTGGCTTTCATGTCAGTACGGTGTTGTCTAAGCTCGTTTCTAGTCAACCTCCGGGAGCAGAAGCTCACATTGTGGACCCATTATGATTTAATAGAGCCGACGTGATGTACACACGCGCGCGCACACATAGCCGCTCGGCTAACTCTTCCGTCTATTCCCGCGCATTGCTAATGGCACACATCAAACAGCTATGTCGCTAATAGCTGACGGCTAATTGCCCGGAGTTTAATTTTTATATTCGCCGAATGGCCGGCGCGTTCGGAAGGCCGCTGCTGCCAAAGTTCCGCCAGCGGCGTCGCTCGTCTTTTCAGCCGAATCTCCGTTTTTCCGAAAAAGACAGGAAGAAGGCAGCAAGAACTATCTCGCGTCTTGAGCGAGAGCGAGAGAGGAAGACCGCAATTTGCGGAGACCTTGAATACAAGAATGTTTAGCGTCATTATTTTCCTCGCGTTGCAACGCCCTTGGCTCGCGTTTGTCGCGAGATAACGTCGCGCGATACGGCGGATTTGGAAAAAAGAGTCTGCGCTCTATTTTTATCTTTCTCTTTCTCTCTGTTTCCCTCTCTCTCTCTCTCTCTCTCTCTCTCTCTCTCTCTCTCTCTCTCCCACTCGTTCGTATTTTTGAAAATAATCTCGAATAAATAAATTGAGCTAGCTCGCTCTCCCGCGCTCACCTTCGCGCGCGAGCAAACGTAACGAACGATAGCGCGAGATGACGATTGATTCAACTGTTGTTATCACGACGGGCTTTAAAATCCACACATGTGATGATGCATGATTGTGTGCCTAAATGACTGTACAAACTTAAATTCTGAACGTCCGCGCGTGTATATGCGCGACTTACTCAACCTGCAAACATGACATGCGCGAAAGTGATTTCCTCAGTGTGTTACGGGATACAAAATCTAGAGAAAGAGAGAGAGAGAGAGAGAGAGAGAGAGAGAGAGGGGGAGAGAGAGAGAGAGAGAGAGAGAGGGAGGGAGAAAGGAAAACTCGTAGAAAGCCGATAATCGTTAAGAAATCAATAGTCTGATGTTCGTCGTGATTTGCAAGAAATTTCTTCCTACCGCTGTTTGCTCGCAAAGACCCGCCGAGACAAATGAAAATTTACGTCTGAGATAAGAGGGAATCATAAATATACACCGCGTGCACAAATTTCTCGGAATCTTCGATCCGCCGTTCGAGCGAAGATCCGCAAATAGTCGATATTAATTTGTCGCGAATTTGACATTCTTTTCGCCGCGGCGGGCTTATCTCTCTCTCTCTCTCTCTCTCTCTCGTGTCTCTCGCTTCGCCTCGTCGCTTCATCCGTCTCGCCGATTGCACGATTCGCGACTATGGGACGGATGTTCCGCTCCGAAATCTTCGGCCGTGGTGTCCGCGATTATCGCCCACGATAGCGGCGTTAACGCGGCGTATACTCCTCGTTCCCGCTTCCGAGCGGCGTAATTGTCGACGACACTGCGCGCACAAGCGCGAAATACCGTTCAAACGTAGGAAAAGTGTCGCCCGCGGAGCGCGTGACATTAGGTCCATTAAGTTCTTTGCACTTGCAGTCGTCAGATTTACAACGCCCAGACGCGCCGGTGACGTTGACCAGATTCTGAATCGGCGCGCGGGGTAGGGGGGGGGGGTGTGCGGGCGCCTTTCAGGCAGTTCACGAGGAAAAGGAGAAAAAATTCTTCGACAAAATCCGCCGTGATTTATAAACGCGCGCTCTCTGTATTTGCTCGATTTCTCTCGGCGAGATACGCGCGATCTGAAATCTGTATATCATTCCGAAGACCGTCCCGCCTTTTCGAATCAACGCGGTGGAGAGACGGTGGAGGAGCTTCTCCTCGCGCGGCTTCTAATGAATAAACACACGGCGAGCTATCAAAATATCAATTACGATCGATTATCTTATCATTCTGAATCCGTGTAACAAGTGTACATTCTGCAACTCGGCGGCTCGTTCGCGGCCGAGTCCAAGCCGAGCGGATGGAATTTTGTTTGGAAAGCATTTCGACGGAAATAGGTAATCTACTTATTAACAGTAACAATATTCCATTATACGCTGCTCCGAACGCACCGTTCGGAGCGGACGGCCGCAACTCCCGCCGAGATGTATTTCGAGTCGAGGAAAATAAGAGGGCGAAGGAGCTGAAGAGAAAAGGAGCGGAAAGGACACACGATGTTACCGACAACCGACGACCTCACATACGAGAGACTCTCGCAGAGAGACCGCTCCGATTCGCGCGTTACACACTACCTTATGCGTATAATCTATCGAATAATTCACTCGCTCACTCAACGGCGCGTCGGTCCTCGCGACGGATTGAAAATACGTTGTTGTTGCCTGCGCATTTTTTTCTCGATCCGCCGCGATTCGCGCTCGCTCGCGAGGCTCGGCTCTGAGCTCGACGAGTTGTCTCGTCGCAAGGAGAGAACGAGACTACTCCACCGGCGCGTGGACAAATTTCGTCGGACGTTCTAAACGGCACAGCCCACTTACGTTTGTAAATTACGCGGCATTTGTAGAACGGCCAGAAGGTATGCCGGACGAGCTGAATTAGAATCGTTATTATCACGGCGGAGCTAATAGCCAATCTTTCTTTTTCTCTTTCCCGCCCGCCCGCGCGGGCGTATTCCGTCCTCGCGATTAGTTCTTTATGCTCGGCGCGGCGATTTTTTAGCGAGCGAAGAAGGGAAGAAGAAAGAGAAGAGACGGCGTATTTAAACGACACGCATTCGCACGTCGGACGCGCGACGCACGTGCGCTGCCATTCAGAAGCAAGGTGGGCACCGCCGCCGAGCGGGACCGAGGCGCGGCGTGATATCGATAATAAAAGCGGCGCGATCCTTAAGTCCCGAAGTGGTGGAAGGTGAGTAAACCGATTGCTTCCGGTCGTCTACATCACACGCTTCTGTCCCTCTTTAGCGGCCAGTCTCGCTGCTAGTCTAGAGCGGACTGTACCTCGACTTAGAAGACGTTGATGAGGTCTATATGAAAGATGGGTCAGGGTCATGCACAATGCAACTGTGTACACACAACAGCAAAACTTCCTGATGCCGGCCGAGAGGCCGGGCGCAAGAACGACGAGCCGAGCGAGCGAGCTCTGTGCTTCTCTCCACAAATGTTATTATTATTATTAATAAGAACTTGTACTTATTACACAGTTAGTCGCCACCGTTAGTCCTCCAGTGGCCGCGTCGGCCATTCGAAGATTACTTTAATGCAAGCCGGGAATTTCCCTGATTGAAGTTAACATTCGTACACTCTGACGGAGGAGCGTGTTAGCCTGCTCCAGCTACACGATATACCTGTATTGTTTAAAACACTCGGAGGTGGTGTGTATAAAACTATCGCGTGTGCGGTATGAATTTTCATGTTGCAAAGTCGAGAAGATGCCCGTGCAAATTCTATTAATAGATCGTCGCAATGTATAAATTTGTGCTTCGATGCGAATGCATTCTATTCGCGATGCGGTAAGGTATATTATTCAATAAAAGTGTTCTCCGCGAATCAACGACGCCGATTCGCGGGGGAAAAAATGGCGGAATTTCGGACTCCGATGATATTAACATTTTCGTCGGAAAAAGACACATCTCTGCGCGCGTACACACACACACACAAACACACACACGCGCGCGCACATTTACGGTATCCGTGTAAAGTTCTACGTTCATCGTGTAAGAAGAATCGCGTCTCTTGCGAAAATTCTAACGCTCTAGTCGACCTTCGGTGTCGAATGATGCAAGGAAGGACCGATGGGAGATTCTTCGCGAATTTCAGGGCCACATATCGAGATCGGCAACGAGTCCTCGAGGAGGTGCGGACGTCGCTAAGCAGCCCGCGTCCTGATCCTGATTTTCCTTTATTCACGAACGAAGCCTTAAGACGGTACGCGCTTAATCGCAAGGCCGAAACGCATCCTCCAATGGTGTCCCGAAGGATGCGATCAATAGGGACGACCTGACGTCACGGGAACGTCGCGGAATTCATTACACAGGCCAAGCCGCCCGCTTTAGCTGGGTGGGCTTAAAAATTAAAAGGCTCTCAAACAAAAACTCCCTTTTTACTTCCAGCCTCGTGGGATGTAATCCCTCCTCGCCGGCTAGTGGTCCGTGCTCTGCCGACCGCCCCCTCCCCCGCCCACCTTCCTCTACAACCCCGAATTTCGACGGTCGCCTGAAAACAAGCCCCTAAGACTTTGCCACCACCTTCCACCTCGTCTCTTTCTTTCTCTCTCTCTCTCTCTCTCTCAGCGTTCATCCCTTCGCTCCGGAAGCCGAGGAAAGCGGCGGCGGGGTCGACTCGCCGATCCACGGTGTACTTTTTCGTACTTGCCGAGTAGCGAAACCCTTTCTTCCCGCGGCGCATTAAGCTCTGTTTGCGGGAGATTCGGCGAATGATACCGCGGAGGAGGGTGAATGCCCTTAATGGAGCTCTATATCCGTTCTACTTCGATCTGACGCCGTCGCTCGCAAGTTGCGCGATCGGGAACAATTGTTACCAGGCTGCTAAAAAATGTTTATATAGAATTTCCAAATACGTTGAAGAAAGAGACAGAAAGAGAGAGAGAGAGAGAGAGAGAGAGAGAGAGAGAGAGAGAGAGAGAGAGAGAGAGAGACGGACGTTCGCGACGCGGGAAAGACGAGTTCGTTGGTTTTGAAGGTGTTCCTCAATCGCTCTTGCACCGTAAATTTAATTACAAAATATTCGTGTTTACAGCGTTTTCACATTCGGTCACTCTCTCTCTCTCTCTCTCTCTCGCGATAACGCTAATCTGAAAAATGGATACTGTTGAAACCTCGATGAAAGCAAAGACTATCGCAAGGAGGGTCGACGAGAAACACAAAGGAAGCCACGTGTGTATAACAAAAAAAACGTTCGTGATTTATTTACAAAGAGAGATAGGAACAAGCAACGGACAACAAAGGTTTTCGAATAAAAGGCTGAACAACGGGACCGTAACGACAATTCATCTCTCATTCCAGTTGTCCCGAGTGTTATCCCGAGTGTTCGCTGTGGGATTACGCGAACGCGGCGATTACCATGCGACATTGTATCGACGTCATTTGTGCGCAACTAGCTTCTGCCGTTAATAGAGTCATCGGAATGTTTCAGCATCAGTCACGGAAGCCGCGAAATTTCAGGTACCTAGAGAACCCCGCGAGCCCCTACTAGGCCGCAGCGGCAAGCGTTATAAGGGACTATGCTGTATCCTCTGGTTCAAATTCCCGTTGACTTCCTTCTTCGTGTCCGCGCTGCTGTCAGTCTCGGCGTCCTCCTTCACGAACTCGCGCCTCTTGTCGCTCTCCGCCGCGCCGTACAGGTCGAGATTTTTGCCCAGGTACCAAACCGCAGCGTCGAACAGCACTCCCACCACGGTGAATCCTGCAACGCGACGGCGACGAACGATCGGCACTTAGTAGATCGAAGAAAAATAGGAGCGGACACAAAAAGTGGGGCAGATCGAAGCGAAATATCGATTATTAACACGATTACGGACACGCCGCGCTAATTTCCATGCCGGATTATCTCAAAATGCTCGAGTCGCGGTAGACAAATGTGATTCATCTTGCGATTATTATAACTTTACAAAACAATGCACACACACATACACACACACACACACACACGCTACTGATCTGTAATTCCGCGCCATTCTTCGCACACACCAGTGAAATTGCAACGTTACGCCGAAATAGAAATCCGAAAAAAATTGCTTATGTGACACAGTCCGATGTTTTTTAATCGCCGTACACCTTCATGCCCGGTAAAATCCACGCACCGATACCGAGAACTGACAAAGAGTACCGCGGTTACTGGGCTACTTTTATCCTAAATCGGTGTACTATTGCGACAACGTCATCGCCGATCACCGCGCATGTCAGCGACAACTGACGACGATATTTCGAGCACTCGTGATCAGCCCACGAAATATTTTCGTCTAGCAGCCGCTGACGACGCGCCGCTGTCCACTATCTTCCCGTCCCATCGCTTCTGGATTTTTTCCTATTATCTAATCGACCAGATACGAACGATTGATAACGCACGGGTCGTTCAACCTGCGGCGACACTCACCGGCCGCCGAGATGTTGACGAGGTATCGGAAGTTCTCCTGGTGGTGGAACCAGCAGTTGCCCCGAGTGCCGCAGGACTCCTCCCATATCAGGCAGGTCGAGTCAATGATGGCTCCATAGATGATCGGTCCAGGGATCAAGGCGAACAACGAGATGAACATTAGCGTGACGCCCTGGGCGAAGCTCTTGTCTCGCTTCTCGACGCTCCTGTAGTTCACCAGGACGTTGCCGATCTTGCCGGAGCAGGCCAACGAATGCACCAGGCAGGAGATCACCATGAAGAGCAGGTACGGGTGGTTGCAGTCGTTGGTGCACGGGCCCGACCGGACCTTGTCGTACGTCGGCGCCTGCGAGTCCGGCAGGTACACGTGCTGCTCGGGGACGAAGGACCTGCTGGAGCTGGGGTGCTCGAGGTGGCCCAGGACGCGGCTCAGTGGCTCGTCCAACGGCAGGCAGCTGCAGTTGCCGAACTGCTTGTCGTCCAAGATCGTCCGGCATCCAGCGTGGCAGGCGGAGAAGAAGGTCGTCTTCGACGCCTCGTGGCAGACGGGCGAGTACTTGACGCCCGCGCAATTGCAGTCGGTGTTGCAATCGGCCGTCAGATTAATTCTGGGAACAGACGTGCGTCGTACGACGGGAGTTAGGTTGTCTCCTGCTCGGTGGCTCGCGGTGCTTTCGAGCGGGCCGACTCGACGGCGACAACGGAGGAGGATCCCGCGTGAATTTTCCGTCTGAAAGGCGAGGGTCGGTACTCACTGCATGGTCTGCAAGTCTACACCGCGAATTCCGGCGTTCTTACATCCGAGGAATATGAAGGACACCTGCCCGGCGACATAGCAAATGCCGACGAGCACGTTCCAGGCGAGGAGCGGCCTGGAGCTCGGCTTGAACTTGCTGATTATCAGTCCCGACAATAAGAAGCCCAGCACCATGCCTATCAGCGATATTGGACCTGTGGACAACGAAGAGGCGCGCGTCAGAGGCGTCAGAGGCACGAAGCTGGCAGAAATTGCACGGCGTTTCTTTCTTCGAAATTCGTCAGAGCAACTTCTTCATTCGGAGTGGAATTCTCAGAAATGGTAGATGTAGAGGTATCGTTAAGTGTAATCGTCAAATGTATCTTGAAGTGAAGTTTTATTCAGAAGCCAATTGGAGAAGAGAGTTAATTCCGTCTCGTGGCGAAAAGATTTCTGATAACGGGCTCGATTAAACACTATCGCGCGGGATATTACGTAAGGCGTTTCTCTTCCCCTCTCTCTTTCTCCCTCCCTCCCTCCCTCTCTTTCTCTAAGAGTAAGTAATGCGATCGTGTGTGGGATCGACGTGTGTTACCTGCTATCACGGTACCGCCAGCCGCGGACGTACTGTATTGAACTTCAAGATACTTGGCCAGGAACGTGAAGTAGACCGAACCGCCGAGGACGTAAAATACGGAGCTTAAGTTGTTGCAAGTCAACAACCAGTTGGTTAACAGTCGCTTCATGGCTTTGGGAAATTCGCGGATTGTCGGTATGTACTCGGCTTCCAGCGGTATTGGTTCGCTCGGCTCCATGTGTATCACGCACTTCTGCTGAAGCACCACGTCTAGCTTCAGAGGCACTTCACCATCCTGAATCAAAATCTCTTCGTTAATTGACGCAGACACTCGGAGAGGAGGAATCTCTCCGCGAGCCGCTAATTCATTACACGCGAATACGCGCCAAGTAAAATATACATTGAGGAGAAAAATGGCGTGGCGCTTGGTATTGTTATTTATTTACTTATTTAACCCTTTAACGCCTACTAACGGTGATTATAGTTGACGTAGAAACATATTTAAGAATCCATAACTTAGTGAAGAAAGGAGATATTTTCGTTTTCTTTGCACCTGCACTGTAAAGGTGAATTCTTCTTCTAAAAAATGCTATATAGATTGTACGTAGATTCGGTTTAGTCTGCTTTTAGCTCAGTTTTAATGATAACATGTTTTGTCAAATTCCAAGTAGGCACAGTTAGCATTGTTACTGACTCTCTAGAAGTGCACTATAAATGAATAGATTGGTGTCTGTTATAATTTTATACATTTGGAAGCTTGCTCAGATGCAAAATGTGAGATTAAAAGAATACAGAAATTCAAAATGGCGGATCCGATATGGTGAACACGAAAATCAAGAAATTAATCTATTTTCGTGAAACCTGGTGACCTACAGCACTTTTTATGCGGCGAAAAATGAAGGGACGATTGACCATCTAAATGGTGATCTATAAGATATTCTTCCGAAATAGCAAGCTTGACGTTCTGAATGATGACGCTCTTCACTCACAAATATAGTAAAGTTTCAGCTGAAAAATGTCAAGCTGACTATCAAAGTTATGTCGTATAGATTACCCTTCATTTTTCTCTGTACAGGTTGCTCATTTCGTATATGCTTTTAGGATCCAAGTCATATTTGCCAATAAACAAAAAACGAACGATGAAAAAACCAATATAAAATTCTATTTTTTTTTGGTTATCACTACTTATAGTCATAGTTCAAAAAAACTCAAATTTTATTCTTAAAACACTTATAAAAAAATCTGGCGTTAGAGGGTTAAACGAGAAGAATGTCCCTTTGGTGCACAAGATAATAATGAATAACGCGACGCACGGTAAAAGGAGAAGAAGAATGAAAGAGAGGAGAAAAATAAAATGTGAGTGAAAACTCGTAATTACAACTACTATGTACGATGAGATGGAATTGTACGCGTGGACGGAACGATTTTTTCAGCGAGTGTTATCACAGCGCCAATGACGATAATTTCACGTGCATGTTGCTGCTGCTATTCTTGTGTTCCGTTAGGACCGCAAGAAAATATCGTCGACCCCGGAGACCACTGTTGCTTCAATGAGATCAGCCATCTTTTCCTCTCAGTGTATAAAATACGTAAGTGTGTATGTGATAGAGTAGCGTGTCTCTACGCACGACAATAGACCAGAATTAAATACGCGATTAGATTGCGCCGTAATATGCCGAGTGATTAACAACGAATTAATATCGGTCTTTGATCTCGCTTCTCGACGAAAAGTGGGTCTCGATACATTCTGAGTCAGCCCACCGATAATATCCGAATGATCGTTGGTGACGATAATGCTTGGGTTTCATCAGTTTCATCACGCCCGCTGAGGATTACCTTCTTGGGAATGTTTTTCGACGAGGGCAGATCACGTGGGAACATGGCGATTAGAACAGCGAACGTGCCCATCGTGACGCCGAGGATGATCCAACCGAGCCACCACGCGCCTAACCATCGCGGGTCCTTCTTCGTGATAACCGGGTGGAGCTTTGGGTCTATGTATAAGCTCAAGCAAGCATAGCTCAACAGGAATCCAATCGCCGGACCCACAGTTCGTAAAGCGTACGTGAAGCCTTACACATGAAATCGGAGAACGTTAGCGATCGACCGATTTCGACGATTGACGCCGCTATAAAGCGACAATTACCGGTCCGCGAAGAATTGATATAGTGCAAAGGCATTTATGACGTGAATAAAAAAACGGCAACAACTCGAGACTCTCACGTTGACGAATGAAAATGAAAGGAAGAGAACAAAGTTCGGGTTCTGAATGCTGAAACTCGCTCGCGACAATCCGGTAATAACGTTGAAGAAAACACAGGTCAGGTCAGGTATTTCGCGTTTTTCACTCTCAGTGATGAAGCTTTAGCTCTAGACTTATAGCCTTCGCTTTTTGTTTCTATCAAGGCAGGACATGTTCCGGATTTTCACCGACTTCAAGTCCACCGATGTTTCGCAAATGCCGCAAACTTAACGATCGACGCTCACCCAAGAGCATAGGTGTATTTTTCTTCTTCGTGTTATCGTCCAGGTAGGTCTGTCCCAAGCCGTAGTAGAGAGTAGTTCCGATGCCGAGGATAAATTGAGAAACGAAAACCAGCAGCCGAGGCAGAAGGTTGACGCTTATCATGGTTTCGGCGTCGCATTGCTCCAGATTGCCCAGGCGCGGGCAAATGGCGAGGTCCTTCGGCACCGACGTCGTGTTCAGCAAAGTCTGATCCAGGTACTCTTTCGTCAACGCCAGCGCGTCCTTGCCGGGTCCGTATATGAAGTGCGGCAGAGCCATAACGAGGCAGGATAACGCGCTCAAGCCGACACCAACCGCGATCCACCTCGGCCGATGACTAGATCCTCCGTAGTAGGTCAAGATCAAAGACAAGACCTCAGAGACCTCGTTGCCGGAAAGGATGAGCCCTGCGAGACACAGAACCGTGAAACAGAGTAGGGCAACTTAATTATATCGCTTATATAAGCAACGCGCTCTAATTTGCACTACTTATACAGTCCGATCATTACGAATTTACATTTCTAGTTTCACGACAAATTGTTCGATTGCAGATTGCATCTCCTTATTGCCTTTCATCGGCTACCTTCCGTGACAAAATTTAACAGTTCATCAATCAGCCTGTTTCTCAACAAGCAGAATCACATGAAACACAAGTTGTGTTTTTATGATATTTTGATGATTTTGTACATACGTCCACGGAAAACTGTCGGTCGTACAAAATAGATCCCTGAGAAGAAGAGAAACAGGGGAGGAAAAAACAGCGGGCGTATATAAATAAAAAATTGTGTCAAAATTTTACCGTTCCAAAAATGCCTTGCTGTCAGAAATGAAACAAAAAATGCCTCCGTTACATTAGATGAAAATAATTGAAAAAAATTTCATCTCGCCGGACACGTAAGATGAGACATGAAAATTTCTCTTGATACGTTCCACGTGCGAAAGCCAATGTTCTCGGCATCGCGAGAAGAATACCGCGTTATTCCGAGATCAAATTGCGGTAGGTGTGTACATAGGTGTACATCGATCGTTCAAGGTGAATGTTCAATGAAGTCATTTGACTCGTACGTGAAAAAGCGCACACTGTCGCGTCTGTGTGCGACCGTGATAGACGACTTTATCGATCACTCTCGGCGATCCCTTTCATCATTCTGTTAATTACATCGTCAAGCTATGCAAATTTCGTTGTCTTCCGCCTGATCGTGCGTCAGAGAAAGCACATGGTGTGTATCTTGAAATGAAGAAATTAAAGGCACGCACGCACGCACGCACACACACACACGGCGCGCTCCTATAAAACGCGCAACGTCAATACTTCGAGTGCGTGCGTGACTGTAAGGTCGTGTAACGCTCCACCGCGTGTCTTTGCTCCGCGGTGCTCTCGGTGTCCAGCGCTCTCGCAGCTCTAACGACAGATTTGTCACTTCTATGATTGCGACACACTACTTACCTACTAGATAAGTGCACACGGAAACGCGAACCGTGCGTGTGCAAGTACGAGTACTTAAACGCGCGAGTATACCCGCGACGCTCGGTCACTCGGCTTCGCCGGCAATGGAATCCGAAGCTGAGGGCGATTAAGGCGCGGTGACGTTCGAAATCCCGCCGTGGCGAGATAAAAGCCAACATCAGGCCTCGAATAATTTATGCCCTCCGTTACGTCTCAGCACTTTCGACTTGTTTATCGTCCCGCGACAGAGATAATCAATACCCGGGATCGCAATCGCGCGGATGTCGTAAGGAGCGTAACTGCGAACTCGGCGCTCGCGGTAATATTATCGCGAGTCCCGCGCAGAAAAAGTCGCCACAGGCTTCTGCCGAAATTGATCGTACGACGATGCGCGACACCGATCGCGGGGAATTCCATTCTTGCCGCGAGAATGGATAATCTGTGCTTAGAATCGAAAGAGAAATTTTTCTCTCTTCGGTTGCCAACGTCGGGATATTTTCACGGTATCGTTCACGGGGGAATTCCCCCGTTTGCGGTATTTCAACGTTTCGTATTCGATCGAACGAAGAGTGAAGGAAATAAAAATCTAACGTGAAACGAGGAGAGCTGAAAAAAACATCGGCAAAATTTTGGCTTCCATTAGAAAGCGCGCTGCGCTTTCGACTCGAATCCGACGCGAGAGATCGGGATCCCAATTGGATCCTCCGGGAATTTTCTACGCGATATGCAGCATCGCACTTGTCCCGTGTCGCGCAGTTGTGTCGCACGTGATTACGAGAGCGGGACTCACCAGTCGTACGACTGGGTATCTTGAATCTCTTCTCCAACGTCGTCAAGGTGACGACAATGTAGATGAAGGCCATCGCTTGAACGGTGCCCAATAAACCGTACACGGCGATGAAGTTCCTCGGGGTAGCTCGATTCCGTAGCCATCGTGGGTAAATGCCACATATTCCGCAGTCTTTACTCATACCTCCGGTGGCCCTGGAAAAAAGCGATTAGTGGGATCTTCGAGTTCGCCTCGCGGGGGGCGGGGGGGGAGGGGGAGATGGTAAATCGCGTCAACGCGCCTACGACAGCGCGCACTTTTTTGCCCCCGCGTATTATCGCGTTACACGCGACACTCGAGACGCATCGAGTCGTAATCGTATCGAAATCGCGCCAGCCTCAATCCCGACCAGCTCGTGTCGTCCCGAACGAGATTTTCATTTCCATGTGCGTGAGATCCCTCGCACGGAGGAGAGGAGGAGCCTCCTCGCGCGACAAGGGAAACTGTACTTCTCGCGGCGCGCCTCGTGACCCCATTAGTATAACATTGGAATGCAAAATATAAGAGTGAGAGTTAACGGCGTGATAGCGCAGCGAGGGGGGTTGTGGGGGGGGGGGGTTGGGTGGAGGAGGACAAAGCGTCGTTATGTTGACGAGAACCGCCGATGATGACTTGCAGCTTCAATCGCCAACGATCCACGCATCGGCGCACAGGGCGCACGTTATAATCGGACAGTGAAGAAAAAGAAGAGAAACGAAGAAAACAATTAAAAGTTCGCGGTGTCATCCGAGATCCGTCTCGGAGTAGAGCTACTTGTGGTCGATGACTGCCACACTCCTGCGCGACGCGTTCTACTTGCGGCACATGTGTGTGTGTGTATGTGTGTGTGTGTGTGTGTGTGTGTGTGTGTGTGTGTGTGGTGCGCGTGGTTGCAGCGTGGTGTATCGCGGAGGTTTGAAAAACACGAGAGGCTCGCGTGCAACACAGATCGCGATAAGACCGCGCTATCTAATTGCCATAAATCGCATATAATTATTAGCGCCGTTAATTAACGGCGATAAGTCTCTTCGCGCACGTTTTCGCGGGTAATTCAACACACCGCCGAGATGCCGCCGCGATAATGCCACCGTCTTCTCCTCTCCTCCCCCTCCCCCGCTCCTCTCTCTCTCTCTCTCTCTCTCTCTCTCTCTCTTCCTCGAATTCGTGCAAACGCAGAAGTTACGCAACGCTTTGTATTCTCGGCCAGCGGCGCGCGGTCCGATCTCGATCGGATGTTTGCGGGCATCGGTGAAAACCGGTATGAATGAACGCCACGTACGATGACAGCGATTGCGTTCAATTTTCCTCCGTTTTACTTCTCCCCATAAGCAAAAATTGACAAATGACCGATGTTCATTCGGACCGTGCGATCGTGCCGCTCCGAGCGACCGAAATCGCGAGTCCTGGCTCGCCCTTGAGTTCCGAATACTTTTGCAAAAGATATATTTCTACTGTTTCTCCTAAATTTCATCCATCGCGCGCGCGCGCGCGACGACAGCCGACGATTTTTAATAAACGTTTCTGGGATCCGCTAGTCTACTCGTTTCTTTCGCTTCACACTACGTTTCGGCGGGCCGTCGCGTCGACGGTTCTCGTTTCTTTTCAAACCGCTTCACCCACTTATTCACAATTGTCTTTGATTTTCTCATGTACTTGGCAGCCGCTTCCTGCGACATCTTTGGACGTGTGCAAAAGAACGCGACTCCGAAGCGTTTGTTGCATACGCGACACACGTGATCGAAAACGGCCGTCCTGCAAAAAGGCCAAACAACAGTTAAGACTTTGTTTATCACGCGTCGTGCAAGATGTTCGCTCGCGAAATGATCCGTCAAACAGTATCCGGAGCAAAGTTTCGCCGCTCGCGCTCTCTCTCTCTCTCTCTCTCGTTAGACAGACACTGCACTTTAGAACGATTCTTATTTAAATCCCGATATATATGTAGAACGTCTTCATTCCCTCTCTCCCTCCCTCCATCCCTCCATCCATCCGGATTAGAAATGACCGCCCGTTTGAATTGGAAACGTGTAACCGCTAGGAGTCTCCTCGACATTATTTACTCATATCCTCGGACCCGCTCGAGAAGGGAAATCAACTTTGGCAATTATTGCAAACAATAAAACGCCGCACGCGTGCAGAAAACTTGGGATTTTTTATCTCACTCGCCGGTCTAGATATACTCACTCCGCCGCTTGTTTCGTAATTACCTTCGTTGCCTATGTACCTGAGGCACAGAGACTTACGTAATTGTAATTCAACCTTAGTGCAAGTTTCATAGCCGGAGAAGACGCTAATCTGAAGTTTTAGCAGATTATCACTTCCGTTTCGCCGCTTCTGAAGGTACCTCGTAAAAGAGCGCGTTTAAGGCGAATTACGCAATTATGTAGAATTCTATGATCACTTTATCTAAGGGAAGAGATCGCCCGAACGCGTCCAAAGAGGCGTTGCACGCGAGGATTTTCGGCCGCCGTTCGCTCCTCTCTCTCTCTCTCTCTCTCTCTCTCTCTCTCTCTCTTTCCCTTCAGTTCTTTTCTCGTTTCTTTTCCTTTTTTTCTCTTCGACGAGCACACGATCGCGATATATCGCGTCCACTCTATTATTCCGCGACCACAATAGCCCGCGAGAGTACTCATATAATTACGATGATTAAATCCGCGCGCTTCTGCGCGGCGAAAGCGAGTTAAATATTTGTAAAAGATAATGAGCCTCGCTATTAATATCGGCGCGTCGAGGCATCGCGCTATTTTCCGAAAGCATCCTAAGCGCTCATTCACGAGATACGCATCGCATCGATTGTTATCGCAGGATATATCATGCGATTGCACAAGCGATCGTACATCATCATTGCGCACCATGCTCCTGCTCATTTCTAAATGTTTCAATGTCTCTCTCTCTCTCTCTCTCTCTCTCTCTCTCTCTCTCTCGCGCGCGCGGAACACATCGCGACCCGACGTCGATCCTGCGCCGGTCCTCCCGAACGAACGAACGAACGAATGTGGCTTACGAGGCTCTCGCGGCAAGGTGAGTACTTTCTTCGGCTTTGAAAAGAGAAAGAGCGCGTATCAAGGATGCGTTCTCTCACCTTGACCTTAGACCTGGTGGATACAGGAGGGACCTCCGGGCCGCGATTCCTACTGGATCGCGATCCTCGATGGTCGTTCCTTCCTCGCTCGCCGAGACGGCTCTTGTCTACCGGGTAGCTCGGAAATCACTACGCGCTGCGGGCGCTCTAGTTTGTGCGAATAAACGCGGGATAACTGAGCTTGCTCGTATGTCAATGGCAATGCTCCCCTACTATTTCTCTATCAAATCGAATGATAAGCGGAACGTCATTCAAAGGACACCGCCAATGAGACACCGGTGCTGACATCGCATGGCCGGCATCCCAAGTGGCCGCGGCGCGGCCGCGACCGCAAGGTAGCGACGCGCGTGGACCCGGTTGGAATCCGTTCTAAAGCTTCACGAAGAAACGAGGCTGACGCAGCTGCCCCTTCCGACGCGGACGGCACTCGGTCCGCGGGAGAATCCTGCTAGGAATTCGTGTCGCCGTGAAAATCACGCAGCTAGCGTTACCATCAACTGGAACAATCGCGTAAGGATCGATGCCAGGTCACAAACAGAGCGGAACTCTCCTGCTCCTCCCGCGGCGTTCGCGCTCGAGGAAGATACTTCCAGTCACTGAAATGTGTCGCGCGCATTTGCCAACTATTTCTTATCCTTTTTTAGATCTCGAAAAGTCTAGAAAAGTCGGAGACTTCAATTAAGTTCTCCGGTATGTACGATGGAATTTATGGCGTCTCCAGAGACTATTATATATATATTTATTCTTTTATTTATTCTTTTAATATATATATATATATATATTCTTTTAATATATATTTATTCTTTTTCTTTTTATTATTAATACTTTAGTTTCTTTTCTGAAGATTTTCAAATAACCGTGGCATATGCACCGCTGAGCAATGATAGCAAATGAATAAAGCACGTCTTGTGCACGAAGAACGTTGCCATTCAAAATATCGTCTCGCCATTAATCTCGTCGGTTTTATTCAATCGAGAATTAAGATTATGCGATACACACGTAGCCGCGAGCGCGAGGAACGTCGCATCATCCTGTAGTGTCATCAATATAACGGTAGCCTGGTTATTTTTGCATAGTTATGCTCTCGCGATGAGGGCGGCCCTCTTCTTGCTTGTTTTTACGAATCGTCGCGACGATACACGCCCGATCTCGCAAGGCTATTAAATTTATCTTTAGCTGACAAAAACGACGACGACGGCGATGACGACGACGACGACGACGACGGCAGCGGCGACTACAACAGTGACGAAGAAGACGACGAGGACGAGACTAAGACAACGATAATCTCCTCCGTCATGACGAAACGAGGGTCGCAAGATTTCAAGTTTTTTAATACGATCGACAACAATTAACGAATATGCCGATTATCGTGAAAGTCGCGAGTAAACAATTCTTTAAACTTATATTGAGAAAATTTAACAATGAAAACTGGTAATATCCGATGTGACACTAAGGATGTTTTATTTCGATCCAATTTTGAAGAGATACATATGATAAAAATCGATCTTTTTTTAACTGTTTTTTATTTCTGATAGTAATTGATTCTTTCAATAAAGAATCGAGAATCAATTCATCCGTAACAAGATGCGCAAGAAAAATTTTTTTTCCTCTTACATTCTTTCGTTTCATTTCGCAGTTGTGGCTGGACAATACGCATAAACGCGAGCGCAATGAAGGGACAACAAACACGCGAAGGTGTTCTCTTAATGACAATATATTTGTTTCCGATCTTCGTTAATCTATCAGATCTATAGAGCGTATATTAATAATTGGAGATAACAGGCAATATATATTACAACCTATTTATAATTAAGCCTATATACAATATTAATCTTAAAAATATAGGATATCCAGAAAGGTGATAGTACCCGTAATAAAGGGCACGATTCCTTGTGGATTCGTAGCATAGGTTTCACTGTCATCCTCTCTTCGTGTGTTTAGAGGAAGCTTCAACGTGTTTTGTAACAAACATCTTAATCACGTATCCGTTGGATTAAGTACATAAACAATGTTATATAACTAGTAGTAATAATAATTAATAATAATAATAATAATAATAATAATAATGCCAATAATAAAATAATAATGTAATAATAATACGGTAAAAATAATAAAATAATATAGTAATAATTTACTTCACCACTATCATAGTCGTAGAAGAGCTTCGTAGTTGTAATATTTAATCCTAAGGCTCGCTAACCTTTTTTCCTTGCTAACTTTTTACAAAGAGTTTTGGTTTCTTGCCTGCATATTAATTTCTACTTACAAATCTAATAAACCGAGTTGAACTCGCTTAAACTTTGAAAGGGCTTGGGACTAGATGAGGGACAGCCGCGTTCCTCATGACCTGACACCGGTCGATTACATTTTGATATTCCTTTAGCTCCTCGCCCTTTCGTTGAGCCTCACTCCTGTACACGAGTTAGCGCGTCGAGTGTTGCACTAACGAATCGCTGACTAGTTTCTAATCGATGAGACTACTCGACTGTGCTAATTAAGGCACTGGATCACTAAGAGTAGACGAACGTACATCTTTCGTTTAATAACGGTTCGGTTAGACTCCAAGTCTCCGGGAATTGTCTCAGATGAAAATATCGGTGTTCCATGTACGATGATACAATCGTCCTTTTTAAAAACAATTAATTTTTTCGTTAAAAAGGTAAAAAGCGTCAAGTCCGCTTGCTAGGTACACACTCATTCCTTGATTCTCGATGGGTTCGCGTCGCCATAAAATCGGCCGTTGTTGTTTCGTTTCAACAAATTGGTCAATTAACATAACAAGGCCTCGAAAATAAGACACTTCGTTGTCTCGCTGGTGTGCGATTTTAAGGCCACTGCGGTTCGATTACATTATACGCCTAACCGTCATGCGTGCTTCGAGTTTCTTTTTCTTTTTCTTCTTCCGACACGTGTGATTGTATCCTGATAAAACTGTTAACACGTTGAATGTCGTGACGGTTGCCGGTAATCGGTACTACCATGACACTACCACGTTATATCAAGTTTTGTAACATATAAAACGTCATTAATCGTGTTTTGGTCAGCGGCAAAACGTAATAAAAGAGCATGCATTTCCAATTGCATTTATTTAATTAAAATATATATCTTCGGCGAACACATAATCTCTTCAATTCGATTTAATTTAATCTGACCAAATCGAATGGCAACAACAAACTTTTATATAATCAAATCGACGGAAATTAATGCGGCAGTCAACGTGTTAATATCTCGACCAGTAATGAAGCAATAATAGTATGCGTTCAACAGTAATGCTTCACAGCCCGTATAATTAATGATGATCTGTAAAATTACGTTACCGATAAACAACAATGTGCCGAGACAAGCAGTACGCATGAATTGGAATATTGTTGAACTAGTACTTGAGAAGATACATCGAGTAATTATAACGGACTCTGTATGCTCAGAAAATTTATATTGCTGCCCTGATGACGGATCGCGATTCACGACAAAGTGTATTTTGAGCGTTTCCAAAGAGAAAATAGACACAGTCGTACAAACTAATATATACATGGATCATTTATAATTATGCATAATTATATATCACCCTCTATATATAAGTACGAATTTTCTCTTTACTGGGCTGCAGACGTCATCATGTGCAATTACAAATATCCACGCAGAAAAAAATACTGCTGAATACGAAAAAAGAGGAAAGATAAAGATAAAATTGTTATTCAATTAAACGTGAGGTTAATGAGCTGCTACAAATGTAAGCAGTTATTTTAATTATATTTATACAACAACATTTTTTCCTCGTGGATATATATAATGATAATATACGTAATATTATAATTTTTCTTCTTGGGATTTCTCTCAAAATACAACAAACAAAACAACGAAAGCTTACGAGTGGCTCTTCAACATGAATTGAACTACGCTAATTTATTTATTCCTTTTCGATTCTCGTTTTGCATTCTTCAGAAGAACGTCACATGTATATATATATATATATATATATATACACACATATATACATACGTACATACATATATATATATATATATGCATATATACATATATATATATATATATATATATACACACACACACACACACATATACATACATACATATATATATACATATATATATATATGTGTTATATATATATGTTACACACATATACACTTCAATAAAGTCATATCAACCAAGTCTCGACAATAAACGTCAAGTCGGTGTGGAAAAGGAAAGAAAAAACAATTTATAAATTAAAGCGATACTAACATAATAACATTTAATTTATATATCGCATAAGGCTAGGAAGAAAGTAACGACACTTGAACTTTTTATAATATTTACATATAATTAACGGAAGCTTGATATGTATTCTATGTGGATAGTAGTATTTCAAGAAGACCCAAGAGAAAATGATTAAGTATAATTACACGTAATGTACATGTTCCGCGCGAAAAACATGCCATTGTACAAATCCAATTAAAATTAATTGTTTACTCTTGTGGTAACCCACCATGTCGACGATCAACATTTTCGCCACCAGCGTCATACATGTGCAACATAACAATCTTTCAAGAAGAGACCAGTATCGTAACATATGTATGACGGCAACATTTTTTTTTATACCAACATTATTAAATTCTGGCAACAAACGTGTTAATTGAACGAAATCATTTCTTTTTCTCATTCAACAGCATATTTTCCACAAAGACATTTTCTATATCAATCAATAATCATTGTAATTGTATAATTGCGTAATTGTAATTATGTAATTGTAATTGGATAATTGTATTCGTGGCCATATAGAGTCAAAATTTACATGTGTAATTTTATACAATTATATGATCACATGTGATCAATTTTTCTTGGGAAGAGGAAAAGTGCGAACAGGAGAAGAGAAGAATATTTAATATTCTCAATTTTATGGGCACACTTTCCAATCGACGTGATCGACATCGGTAATCGCTGCATGCATGCTAATTTTCTTATTAGGCACAAATTTTCGAATTGTTTGCAGTTAACGTTTTGTAGTTTGATATCTGACGCTTTCACTGTTAGAGCTCGCAGCCGAGAGTGACGCTTGAGATATATCGCAACGAGCTCAATTGAAAAAGAACATTTTATGTTTCTTTTTTTCCACCGACTTGACGTCTATTGTTGGAGCTTGGTTGATATGATTCTATAGAAGAGAGAATTTAAAAAGCAACAAGATACAAATGACATTCAAACAATCTCTAAGCGGGAACATGCAAAACATCTCGGAGAATCGAAAGTGGATAAATAAATTAGCGTACTTTAAGCCATGTTGAAGAGCCACGAAGAGATCAGTCGTAGGCTTTCGAACGTTGTTTTAACATGCGCTGTGATTTTGAAAGAAATCCCGAGAAGAAAAATGATAATACTATGTATATTATCATTATATATGTTCACATGGAAAAAATGTTGCACAGATATAATTAAAATAACTGCTTAATTTGTAGATTAAATATGTAGATTAAATGTTGTTATGTTAATATCGCTAATACCGCTTTAACAACAGAAGATGGGGAGGGAGATTAGATTAATTAGAAAGAGGGGGGAGGCGAGGGAGAGTGCAAGTTAGAAACTAAACGCGAGAAATCAAGAATTACCGAGAGCTTGAAGAGATTGTCTCACTTTGACAAGATTTTTCTCTTTTCTCGCGAAAACAAAGTTTCGATTTTTCGCAGCATGTGCGCTTTTCTTAGCGAAATGGAGACCCCGTCACGCTCCTCCTAATTTTAGAGAATTATAACTCAGGCTCAGTTATTGTTGCTTTTTTTTTTTAAGTGCACGTGAAACGAATGAGCTAACATCGGCATCAGCGAGACAAAATCAGCGACACAAGCGAGGAAGATTGGATTTATTAAAGGGCGGAAAGGAAGAGTCGAGGGGGGAGGGGGGAGGCAAAAAAGAGCAAGGAAGTGTACAAGTTAGAGACTAAACGTGAGAAGTCACAGGTCGCGCCGAGTATGAAGAAATTCAGGCCGGTCATTCATACTCAAATCTTATAATCAAGATCGCTTTGGAGTCACCCTCAAGGGTCATCTTTGCGGCTAATAAAACGACCCGTACATCATTCGAGAGATGAACTTGAGGTGATCTTAGATACAAGATTTGACTATGAATGCCGGCTTTCTCGCCTCTCTTCTCGCGACCCTTCGGAGAATATTTGGAAACACTTGCGACACGTTGCGGTTAAAGAGAGGAACATAAGGCCCATCGAGAGTACCCAACGAGGACGCTGCTGGAGCCAATCACCGAAGACCACTCTCGAGGACCGATTGTCTCATGCTGCCTCAGTGTTCCTTATTTTAATCCCACGATGAAATTAGCTCCGATAAACGTAAAGGTTCTTATCGTTACGTCTTTCATGTTCCCCATGTTGGTAGTTCTATTGTAACCTGGCTTCTTGAGGTGTCGTCTGATAGGGCAAACCTGGGAAAGCTGCGCCAGCTGCCGTTGCCGCCGCCGCCGCTGCTGCCGCCGGCAGGCTCGCAGCTGGCAGTGTGTAGGTGTAAGGTCCTACGTAGCTCGCTGCCGCTGCGTTGGCTGCAAAGAAAACAGAAGGAAGATTGTTTCTCAGCAAGCGAAAAGCGTCCATGACGTTGTGATCGACGTCGATCCGAGACCGCCTTACTTCCTTACTCTTAACGTACGCGACTCAACTAAGGGGGGATGTAATTTTGGGCGAAAGCTTTCCTTTTATTCTCCAAATCTCTACAATACTTGTCATTGACGACGCAATAGCGTTTGTCGCGATTATTTGCGGCTACTTTTTCTTTCTTACACTTTCTTTCTTTACACCACTTTAATTCTTTTAATTCTACGAAAGTCACGAAATTTTGACGCTCACTTCGGAGGGGCATCAACTCGCGACATTAATGTCGTTGAAACGCTATTGCTTCGGCGAATTATTTCCAGAAAAATTATTTCTAGAGAAACGTCGTCGTTATGCTTACTTATCTAATCTTGGCAGGATTTTATTTAAAGACTTACTTATATAAATTTGTTCAAAGGTGCGGATATGTAGAGAGAAAAAAATTAAAAAAGATAACAATTTCGATCTAAAATATAGCTTAATCATAGACTTCTATGTAATTGTGGTTATAAACTCGTATATATTGGCCTGCGAATTTTCTACATGCCAGTCGTATATTCGTATATAAAATACGAGGATAGATTGAAAAGTTTCCAATCTAACCAAGAAAGAGCAAGATTTCGATACTTCAAGTCAAATTTCAATACTTGTCCGATAGATAACACTGAAAGAAACACAAAGAGCTAAGTTTGATGTCATTCCAGCGATTCATTTGCTTCTGACAGACTTTCAAAATTAATCAAAGTTTGTCAAGAATGGAAAAATTAGAGTGACACAATTCCTTCATTTAAAAGGGAAAACTCCTATGGAAATTAAAACTGAATTAGATTCAGTGTACGGAGATACTGCTTCTTCATTTACGACCGTGAAAACCTGGACTGCTGAGTTCAAGCGTGGCAGAACGAGCATTTTCGATGACGAGGAACGTTCTGGATAACCAAAAACCGCAACAACCGCAGACAGATGAAATGGTTTGGGCAGGGTTTTCTTACAATACAGCTTACAATTGTTCAACCTCGAACTTTTCCGATTGATCTAGCCGTTGTTTGTCGTGAACGTCACAGTCACCACTTTTGAATCGTCGAAACCAACAATGTTTCCGATGAAGCAGATTCACCATAAGTTTTCGCAAGTAATCGATGAGCTTCAGCTGCACTTCTTTTCAAATCAAAGTAGTGTGGAAGTACACACCGGAAAAACAATTTACTGCGTATTTTAATGCCTATTTTAATTCGGTTATAGAAAAGCACTTGTGTAAACAAAGGATGGCGTCTGATGACTAAATTTTAGTGGGAAATGTTCACACTTCAAAATAATGACATCTGTCACTGCCCACAGCATACGCAGCTAGAGCCAACTATTTCGATGCAACCTGCTAATACTAAGGGAATGATAGATTTAAAAAACGCTGGACGAAGTGCGTTGAGCTGAAGAGAGATTTTGTTAAGAAGTAAATTTCATTTAGCTGAAAAAAATGTTTTTTTTTCTTAGTCAGGTCGGAAACTATTCAATCTACCCTCGTACGTCCTACGAGGATTGTTTGACCAATTTCGAGCTTAACAATGAAGTACTTATATTTTTGGTTTTATTTTTTAATGTAATCTCTTTTTTTTAGCTCGATGCACTTGGTCCATTTTTTTTCTGGTCTCTGCATTCCATCAGCAAAGTAGATTTGGTCCAGTTTCACGAAATATTTTTACGACGGTAATCATTTGGTCGCAAACTTTTTTCCTTTTAGCCATTTCTTTATGTTCGGGAACTAAAAAAGCCGCAGCGGACTAGATCAGGCAAATAAGAGGGGGAGATTAATTCGTAGAGTAATTCATGCAGTTTGATGATTACGGAGATGTGTGTGCATTGTCCTGGTGAAAAAAGAAACATTTTTTTCTTCTTCACATACGGTCGTTTTCTCGCGATTTTTTCCTTTCAATGTTGCAATAATAGTTTCGTCATAGTTTTTCGTTTTTGAAGACAATCTCTGAGCAATATGTTATGGTTATCCCAAAAAGACAATCGCCATAACTCTTCCGGCCGAATGGGACATCTTCGTCTTCCTCGGAGCAGGCTTGCCTGATGAAGTCCAAGTTTTGACTGTTCCTTGCTCTCAGGTGTATAGTGCTGAATATCCATGTTTCGTCAGCAAACGCGACACCCATCGTGTAGTTAACTTTCTCGTATTCAAATCTTCATGTGACATTTTGAACACGAGTTCAGAAGATATAATTGCTATCTCTCTGACCTTCAATCTCTGATCAGTGCGATCAGTTTGATGTACTTTGTCGACCATTTCCTTAGTCGCGAGTTTGGGCAACTCGGAGGCTCATCAACAAACACACTTGCACGGCCACGCTCAAACTCGGCACCCCAAACTTTAATCGTTGAAAACGAAGGAATAGAGTCACCGTAAACCGAACGCAACTCGGTTCTGATTTCCGTTGGAGTTTTCGCTTTTAGATACAAGTATTTAATCGCGAAGCGATATTCGAGTTTTGCCATCGTTGAAAAATATACCGACAACTCACTGTCAAAACGTGATTGAGTCATCTTTATGTTCAGACTCGGAACTTATCAAACACAATCTACGTACGTTCAATTCGCGTTGAGCACTTTGTGTGAGTAATGTACGGCCGCGAATGTATCGGAGAGATTATTGAGAATCTTTCCAACGTGGGGACACATTTCTTCTCAGAGTTTGGATACTCACATGTATCCTCGTAGATATAAAATATATCCATTTTCACATGAAATTTGACTCACATTTTCATCCAGTTTCAAAATGTCTTGCAATCTAGACTACTCAATGCTCGCAAAAAGCCGCATTCCTTGTCAGCGTACTTCACTCATGCGCTCTAATCTATGCACAAGTTTCGTACATAAAAGTTACGTACATACCACAGGCAGCAGTTCGCAGAGTCCAGTATATTATATAGAAGTCTGTAGGCTTAACAGAGTAAAAAATGTAGTATTTATCGCTGGCAAATGAGACGAATCACAGAGACGTAAAAGCATATTTGAGCGATATACGCATATAACAGGTGTTCCCTCAAGGTGCGCTCGACTTTCCAAATTTTTGTGATACGATCAAGCTCACGATGGTTACATCGACCACCGTTATTGATTTCGAGAGCACCGCCACCATCACCAGAGAGACAGAGAGACAGACAGAGAGAGAGAGATAGATAGAGGAGGGGGGGAGGGGAGAGGAAGAGGGAAGGAGAGAGAGAGAGAGAGAGAGAGAGAGAGAGAGAGAGAGAGGAGAGAGAGAGAGAGAGAGAGAGAGAGGAGGGGGGAGAGGAAGAGGGAAGGAGAGAGAGAGAGAGAGAGAGAGAGAGAGAGAGAGAGAGAGAGAGAGAGAGAGAGAGAGAGAGAGAGAGAGAGAGAGAGAGAGAGAGAGAGAGAGAGAGAGAGAGAGAGAGTGAGTGAGTGAGTGAGTGAGTGAGAGAGAGAGAAAGAAAGAGAGAAAAAGAGAAAGAGCGCATTATACATAACATATTATGTGTTAATTGTATAATAACACAAAGCACGTGTAAACATGCAAGACTTGCTCTCTCGATTGCTCGCTTATCAACCGAACTGCACGGGGAAAGTATTGCAATCGCGTCAATATCATGCTCCTTTCTGTATGTAACGTTTCCAAAACTGAACTCTGCACCGATACGAGTACGAATTAATAATAAATTGCAATGTATAAAGAAACAAAGGAACAATACATCCAAATAATTACAATGTTGTGTAGAGAGCGAAGACATTTTTAAGCGAATATGTATTATAATAACAATTTTGGTCAATCGTGTCTTAGTATAGCTCAAGATTGCAAAGACTTCGTTGTGACTGTCGCTGCAATATTTTCCTCTGTGTAAGCAACGAACACTTGAAGATGTTTCATGTAAAATCGCAATCGTTTACGTGCAGTGAACTCTAATAACGCCCTCCACTTCCGGTCAGGATATTTCGGTTCTCCTCGGAACCGGCAATCCTGACAAGAAAATATGTAAACCCCGAGGAAAAGTGACTTTCTATTACCGCTCGCAGTGCGCGAGGATTTCTCACTTACTCACTCCGGAAGCGCGTCGTTACTCGGTCGGGCGTTATTAAATTAATTACGACAAGGTCGCAAAATGTTCAATGAGCCAAGTCGGAAAGAAGCGATGTATGTGCGCACTATCTCAGATATTTATCAGGCTGGCAAGAAAGTCATGTCGTTTCTTTTTCTATGTAAAGCGATTTTTTCATACAAAGCAAAAATTTTATTCCGTGATATATTGTCCGTTTAATTCGATGATCTTTTGCCATCTGTTTGGTAGCTTTATTTCGGCCTTATAGAACTTCTGACTCTTATCGGCGAAAAACTGATCCAAGTCTGATAGTCTCATCAGAATCAAATTTTCTTCAAGGAACCTTGCAGGGAACGAAATACAGTAAGTGGTAATCTGATGGTGTAAGGTCAGGCGAATATGATGGATACAGTAACACATTCCACCCAAGCTGCAACAATTTCTGGCGGGTGACCAGCGCTATATTAGGAGATTGCCTTGAAAGCCGCTGTTTTTGTGTCTTCTAAGCATTTATTTCAATAACAAAATCTGTGAATACGTGAATCAAAGTACAGTCTGTAAAGTAAGAGCGCGCACGGGTTAATGTGTGGAAAAATTTATTTTTAATGATTTTTACATGGATTTGTTGTACTCCGTGAGAAGAAAAATGCTATACCATTAATAATGAGTCCAGTCACCATCAGGATTGATAATTGCCTGGCATCTCCGAGGCATACTTTCCACTAAGTTGACTGCGTATTCGTTCGGTAAAGACCTCCAAATGAGACAAATTTGTCGTGTCAGCTGCTTCAAAGTGCACACTCTTTTTCCTCAAAGCTTGTGCTTGAGATATATCCACACATTTTCAATGGGATTTGCATCTAGCGACTGCGATGGCCAATCAAGTGTGACGATGCCAGACTGCTCTTTCCACTCGGTGCAAAGCTTGCTCCGGTGTTTTGGGTCGTTGTCTTCCTGTAAGATCCAGTCCTCGTTTTTTTTATGAAGCATCGTTCAGCAGTCGGCAACAAACACTTCTCATAAATTTTAAGCATTAAGGTCGGGTTCCGCTCAAACAAATTCACAATTTTTTTTCCATATTCGGTGTCACTTTGCCTATCAAGCCACGTCCTGGCAAGTCGTCGACATTTTTTATCTTCTTATATTGCTGAACCCACTTAGCGACGAACGATTTTGACTTTCCCATGTATTTAGCAGCCACTGCATATGACATTTTTGGTCCTTTGGGGTGGGAACAAAGAAACACAGCCTCGTAGCGCGATGCTCATGCGGCACTCATGGCGGTTAACGTGTTTCTCAGGTTAGAGTTCGACGCCAACTGACTCTTTTGTGACAAAACATTCACGACAAAGATTTCATCTATCGGCTCACAAAAGAACTAGGACGATATTTGAAGCCAACTGCCATTTATGCCGTGCACGCTCTTACTTTACAGACTGTATTTGTCGTTGGAAGCTGTGACTTTTTCCCAATTTTCTGGCAGAAGTCGAATTCCGCAACGAAAGAACGGTCTGTCTTTTGAGCCAATCCATTCAGCAGCCCAATTTCCGACTTCTCCGTAATTATGGAAATGTGTATCTTCCAGAGCGTGTTGCATCGATCGACGAACAGATGGTAATCACTTGGAACCAGGTCCGGAGAAGATGCTGGATGCGGGATAACCTTCCATTCGAGCTCCATCAGTGTTCGTTTCATAGCTACAGCAACATAGTGTCAAGCGTTATCATGGAAAAGAATCACTTTTCGGCGATTTGATGCAATTGATGGTCATCGATTTGCATCAAGTTACCATTCAACGCTTCAATTGTTGTCAATAACATTCGGCGGTGACTGTTTCGTTTGGTTTCAACAGCTCATAATACACGACATCCTCCATCAAATAGAGAGCATTTTGTTTGTGACTGTGGATATTTAATTTTGGTGTCGACGTTGATGGTTGACCAGGATCAACCCATGATTTCTTGCGTCTCGGGTTATCGAAATAGATCCATTTTTCATTGCCGGTCACGATACGCTAGAATAAACTTTTCTCTCTTATGCCTTGCAAGCAAAGAATCAAGATGTTTAAACAATTAGCAATGGCATTTTCCGTCAATTCATATGGCAGCCATCTCCCTTCTTTCTGAATCTTTCCTATGGCTTGTAAATGTCGTGAAATGGTTGATTTATCGACTTCAAGCTGTTGAGCAAATTCTTTGAATGTTTGAGCATGGTTTTCTTCCAACAGACCTTGCAGTTGTTTTGCATCTTCGAACTTTTCCGACTGACCTGGCCGCTGTTTGTCGTGAACGTCACAATCATCACTTTTGAATCGTCGAAACCAATGTCTACGTACTGTTTCTGATGGAGCAGATTCACCATAAGTTTTCGCAAGCAATCCCATCTATGGGCAAATTCCGGTTTCATATTTACAGACCTGGTACACATCGGTAAAACAATTCATCGCGTTTCATTTTAATTCGGTTACAGAAAAGCAAGTTTTGTGTAAACAAAGTATGGCGTTTGGTGAGTGAAACGTTCGCGTCATTTCAAAATGACATAAAGGACGTCTGTCACTGGCCACAGCGTACGCAGCTCGAGTCATCTACACGTGAACAGCGGCTTTCAACGCAACCTCCTAATTTAAAGGTTACAGGAGATTTGGAGTGAAGTTAGTTGCGTTTAATGACAAGTAAAGCCGTCTATCCGTGAAAAACGACATGACTTTGTTGCCAACCTGATACGTCGGGGTTCTCACAGAAAATCCGTCAAGAAACGACCAAGAGGCCGTCTCTCTCGGACGGCGAAAGATAGGACATGAGCGCGCGGATAGGACATGTGCGGCACGAACGACACCTCATTGCATCCGCATGGTGTCGGAGAGCACCGACACATCCGACGTCGAAATTACCATTCCCCTAAGCGGGTACAACCTGGTATAACCCGATGCGTAGCCGGTAGCTGCACATCGGGTTACACGAGAGAGAGAACGCGCGCTTCCCTTCACCTTATTCCCCATATATCATATCTCACGTATGAAAAGGATCTATGTATATGTGTATGTGTGTGTGTGTATGTGTGTGTGTGTGTGTGTGTGTGTGTGTTACCTGTGCTGTGTGTATGTTACCAGTGTCTGCGTGTGTGGCGTTTATGAGGCGTAGAGTGTAACGTGTTACGCGATGGTGTGTGGTGGTGTATGCCCCGAGAGATACCGGTGTCATACGAAGAAAAAAGGGAGAGAGAGAGAGAGAGAGAGAGAGAGAGAGAGAGAGAGAGAGAGAGATGAGAGAGAGAAAGAGAAAGAAAACGCGCGCGCGCGCGCGCGCTCGAAAGAGAAAGAGGGGAAGAGAGAGAGAGAGAACCGGATCCTGTGAGAACCCCGTCTACGAATGTTGCAAGTAAAAGCGCTACGATCAATCTCGAGGAGGGTGCAATTCTCCCCGTCTCGTCTCTCCTCTCATCCTCTCTTGATCACTGAGAGTTTCTACCGTAGCCACGCAGCACGGACGGCAGAAACTGCGGCAGGAGAGCTTTCTCCAGCTGTTGCTGTGCCAGCGCCGCGGGAGCGTTTTGCTGCTGCTGCTGCTGTTGCTGCTGATGCTGGTGTTGGTGGTGGTGCATCGAGCTGTTGCTACCCTTGCCCGGGACACTATTCAAACACGTACCAGCGGCGGCCGCGCTGGTGTAGGGGTACGCCTCAGCGAAGTTGTACGACGTGCCGGGATAGCTCGCGGCCGCTGCTGCCGCGTTCTGGTACTCGTAGAACTGCGACGCCGCGACGGCGGCTGCATGGCCTAACTGCGTCGCCGGAAGCGGCACCAGGCCACCTGGCGCCGCGGCCGCCAGGTACGGCGACTGGTACACGTAACCCGGTGGTACTCTGCAAAACGAGAAGGTGCGTCAGTTCATGGATGCCGCTGCGGTGTCCCGTGGGAGAGCTCGTGGCCCACCGCGGAGGAGCTCCGAGGTGCGCCGGGATGCGAGTGTTTGTGAATTCATTGCGACGGACCGACGGCGCGAGGCTCCGCCGTCCAGTGTCCAGCGCGGGAGGACGGAGGAGGTGTCGCGTTTCGACCTGAATTGCCTCTCTTTCTCTCTCTCTCTCTCTCTCTCTCTCTCAGGAGGGCCAGCGAGTACACCAATTCATTGACTCAGGAACGTATGAAAAACGTATGGCCATTCATCTCACGAGCGATTAACCTGATCTTAGAGGCATCTTATCAGGGTTCTTTCCACGAGTCAGAGCAAACTTACAAATTCACTTACGAAGGTCACACACAGATGAATCGTGCACACGCCGTCAGGTCCGCGGAACAATAATTTCCAAACAAGTACACCTATCTCGGAGCGACCGACAGCTATCGGACGGATGTTCGATGCACCTGCTTCGGTCGCGCAAGGAGGTGCGCGACGAACGGGTGTCCGCCGACAGGGTGTCGTTCGCTCCGATCGTATACTTCTCCTTGCCTCTTCTTCTTTCGGTGGGAGTCGGTGGGATCGGGAAGGGCCACGAAGGGGGTGACGTAGCGTCTGTGTGTGTCTGTGAATGTACGTGTATGCGCGAAAGTTCTCATCGTGTAACGTCTGTCTCAACGAACGACTCGCGATGTCGATTACAGATCGTCGATTGAAAGATGCGAGTACTCGAGGACTCGACTCTTTCCAGATTGTTCGATGGACGAACACGACGATCGATCCTGAGAATCGACATGGCGGCGACGAATTCGTGTACACGCGTGTCGCCGATTCCTTGGCACTGGCAGAGAGTGGCTACGTTCGGCTGAGAGAAAGCTGCTTTGCAACTGCTTGTAAAGCTCATGAATCTGATTGGTTAGGTGGGTGCTCTTGGATCCGGCCGAATTTAAGAGCACGCGCCAATTAGATTCGCGAATTTTACGAACGGTTGCAAGGCGGTTCTTTCTGCTGTGAACGTAAGCAATGTCGGCCAGTGCCGGGAGCTCGGCGAGAAACAAACTCTCTTGATTGAGCTTCGCGTTACAGGAAGATCCTCGGCTCTTGGACGGTCTTTCGCTCTCGAGCAGCTCTCTACCAACACCAAAAGCACGCAACACCAAACGGCAGAGTGAGCGAGGGACCGAGTTCTCTTCAATCGATCTTCGCGCATACGTGACATACGAGCGATCAGGCGCCGAGGTGCGCTTCTGCGTCTCTCTCGATATCGGTCGGTGCGTGAGCGAGAGTAAGTGTATGCGGTGTTAAAGGTGTTAAGGGGGGGGGGGATTTTTACATGCGGAGCAGGCCGTTTCCAACGCTATTTTTACGAATTTTTTTAACAGAAACGGTGGGATCAATGGACTTGAAATGTTCACCTTCATTAATGCGCAAAGTATAAAATCAATTTGTTATCTATCTATATGAAAAGTACACACAAAACTTTTAAACGCGTTTATCTGGAAACACCATTTTCTTAAACTGTCGGCACGAGTATGCAAAAACTACTGAATCGAATAACTTGAAATTTTTGCACAATATCTCACAACAGTAGACATACCTCGAACACAGTTATATTTTATTTTATTCTTTTTTTTAAACATGATTATATGTTGAAAAAAGTTTCATTTTCGATACTTTTTTTTTTGTACAGTCATTATTTTTCCAAACTTGGCTTCACCGCCTTTATTTTAGTTTTTACGGACTATTATAACGGCAACCGTATATTTAAAAAATCTTTCTCAGTTCTTAGCTTCAGAATAGTGAGAGGCCCGAAATTATGTCGGCAGCAAACATAGAGCTTGCAAACGGATGACTGCATTTGTGTCTATAATTACAACATTGGATCAAATTTGTTCTTGTGATGTAACAAAATTTATTTTATACTTTGAACGTTAATGAATACACTGTGAAAATTTCAAGTTCATTGATCCTACCGTTTCTGTTGCAAAAATTCGTAAAAATAGCCTTAAAAACGTATAATCCGCGTGTAATTCCCCCTTTAAGGTCCTTCTACAATAAGAATAAGGCTGTAAGTGTAAGCAGTAAGAGATAGGGGCCAACTACAGTTGATTATTATAAGAATAATCGCCTGTGGTTGGTCTATTTCTTACTGCTTACAGCTTTATTCTTGCAGCTATTGTAGAGCGACCATTAGATCCTCGAGTTCCGAGATCGCGTAGACCTCGAAGACAGGGCTCACGAAGCTTCGACTTGATCGTGCAATGTCGAGGAAATCGAAATACCATCGTCATGTCCTCGTGTTGTTTTTCCTCTTCGAGGTATGCACGCTTGGAACTCTCGGCGAAACGGCCCGAGAACGTGTATCGAAAGTGTACACTCGCGCTTTCTCTCAGCTATGAATTCCCTTGCCGAATCTAGCAATTTCTAATTGCCGAGATTACGAGCATCTTGCTAATTGAGCCGGGAATTAAAATTCCTTTGGAAGAAACTCCGCCCGCAGCCGGTCGAAATCGAGCAATCAGATGTGTTGCTACTTTCGTAACGGAAATTCGCCAGATTTCGTTAGCTACGGGCAATAAATTATCATATATATAATTACCTTTCCACCGTGATAAGATCAACCCCGTATCCAACGGCAGGTCATCATCCACTGAGAGAAAACTGCGTCTTTCATACTGTACGTGTATGTGTGTGTAGGTATGAGTGTGTCTGGGTATGAGTGTGCATTCTGATCATGCGCCAATTGCGGCGTTAATATCGAGAAGATGATCCAATTAAAGCATTAATTAGCAGGAAACGTGTCACATCGTTTTGAATATTTTCTTCATCTTTTTCCTTTTGTCGTTTTCTTTACATTTTGGCGTTATCGTTATTAGGACGTAAAGACTGAGGAATGTCCAACATTTCAAGGTATGAATCGAATGTATAATAAAAAGTATTAATATTTTATAGATTTTATTATAAAAACCGTATGTATCTTTTCTGTATCACCAACTAGCATCAGTATGCACGCATAAGAGTGAGGGTGTGTGTGTGTGTGTGTGTGTGTGTGTGTGTGTGTGTGTGTGTGTGTGTGTGTGTGTGTGTGTGTGTGTGTGTGTGTGTGTGCGTGCGTGCGTATGTTACGTTGGATACTTGATCAGGACGGAACTTTCGAAGACGGAAAGGAAGGCGGAAGGAAGCAAGTCGGGAGGTGTGAAAACGGTAACGTTGCTCTTATTGTGGTATCAATAATAAGGCGGAAAAAACGTACGCAACAATCCAAGAAAAAATCTTTCACGTGTTGGCAAAACAACAGCAAACCAACGACAAACGTGTATGTAGGTGACTGCACGAAATATAAATACTTCTCGGCACACGGCACACGATTATCTAACACCAACGTTAGTACCTAAATTCACAGATCTAAGGAAACATCGCGAGTTCGCTCTTTCTCTCTTTCTCCCCCTCTCTCTCTCTCTCTCTCTCTCTCTCTCGCTCTCAGATTTCCGCGACCTTTGGATGCGTTGTAGAATAACTCGTAACAAAGAACAGGTATTTCTTTTACGATTACTTCAGCGCAGTTTAGGGGACGAGAACTCGACATTCCGATAACCTTGTCGAACGGGCGCTTCGACACTTCGAAAAGCACGAAAGCTGAAAGATACAAAGATAAATGCTCCGCTATACTTAGGAATGCTCAACGCAACACTATGATGGGGAGCTCTCTGTATTATCATCAAGTACTGACACGTATCGAAAAAGTGCTGGAGTCTTTTTTCTTCAGAATTCATTCGGAGACGAGACACAAGAGAAGAAAAATAAAAAAAAGAAAAACGAAAAGAGAAAAGGAACAATCGATGTCACATTGCGCGCGCTTCCGCGCAACGCGCAAGGTGCACGTGTGTTCGCGCGCCGTGCTATTCAATAAACTTGCTCGTTACGTTTCGCACGTCACTCCAACGACGAGGACAGGCATTGTTGACTGCATGCATTCATGCGTGTGTGCATCATACGTTACGCATTATGTAATGTCGCTTTAATCAGTTATATTCGATCTTAGTCGAACAGGCGGAATTGTCCAAGTTACATCGACGGGCTACCGCGTCGCGTCCCCTAATTCTGCGATCAAGCCAAGGTACACGCGTCACTTGTTCCGCAGACTATCGTAGAACGCGTCGAGAGAGATCCCCGGAGAACGTCTCGATGCGAGACACGTCCTCGAGACGTGTCTTCGTAAGAAAGAAAGAGAAAAACGATTGTACGTCTCGCGGTAGAGTGCCTCTGTCTCTCCCTTACGCTTTGTCTCTTTTACTCGTTGCTTCTCCCAAATCCCCTCAATTAATAACGCGCGGGAGATCCCGACTGTGAGCGGCGAGCGTTCTTCGTTCACCCGCGAAATTCGTTCACCGATTCGCTATTGTCCTCTCTTATCGACCGACGTGTACGTCTGCGAATACATAAAAACACATCGCGCAGATCAGTTCGTTGGCCAAACGCACGCACGTACACCGTTTTGCGGTCGAATCGTCGTATCATTCTTACGGAATACATTCACGGTGCATCATTGTCGCTATTCATTTTTACCGGTCTGAATATTTCATGGTATATTAATTGGCGTTTCTGCTCGTGTTAAGTGCTTAAACACGGAGGCGTAAATTGAAAAGTTGCAGAGATTCAACTCGGTCGACTCTACTGACGAGAATCTCGCCTGAATTCACACACGTGCTAGCAAAAGGGCGAGTATGCGCGAAGTCTTGCAGAAATGATCGCGAAGGTGCAATGAGACCTTAATGATTCCCGAGAATATCGACACGCTGAACTAGTTTTGGAACCGCGCTCGTCAACGTCGTCCGGCTCCAAAAGCACGAGAATAGGTTAGGCTGATCATCGAAATCCATCGGGATTATTACACGAGCGAGCCTTTACCTCGACCGCCATTCTCGGTAAGTAGTTATTAAAATCTCCCGCGGAGATGTTTACAGA